AAGCAGTGGTATCAACGCAGAGTACTGTTTTGGTCAAAATGTCGATGACCTTGAATTGTAAATAAACTTCGCCCAAAGAGGTTTTCGAACACGCTGTTTACGAAAATAGTGGTCTTTGAAGAAGACAGGGGCTTTTTTGTAGGGATATTGTGAGGTGACTGTAACTGAGTCACGAAAGTTCGTAAATTTGCCCTGCACTTTTCGCGAATTTGTCAGAAAACTAGCCTGCTTGCTTTTCCAAGTCAAAATCACTGGGAACTGTGCTATCAAAAGGTGCATGCTCAGGCTCCAGTCTATAAAGTTCGCCGAGTTACGAGCCTACGAAAAGAGGTCCTCATAATTTTCGCTCAAAATGTAAAAATCGCGTATTTCGTCGAAATTCCGCCTTCAGTGGTTGTATGACATACTGATCAAATCTGTTCACATTGGTTAATGGTCTTAATGTGCTGGATTTGGAAATTAAGCAGATCTGAGCTCAAGCTACGAAGGTGCATGTGTCGAGACGCAGACTAGAGTCCGACAGTTCCCTCGCCGATTGGGCGGTGCCACCAACTTCAGATGAGCTGGCACTCCCCGGTGTGCTCGGTGGTCCCCTCCCCCAATTATGTTCCCTCATATTTATATTTATGTTATAACGATAAAATAATCTAGTCAGAACTGTTATGTTATTACAAAGGAAAGAAACTAAGGGTAGAGGGATCAAGTTAAGAGAATAGCTAACTCTTCAGACTTGACACCTGGATATTCATATGAGCAGCTGAAGAATGCGCGACCACCACATTCAACTCAATGGGATCCTTAGGCGAAGTGAGCATATGCAGTCAGAATGTCATACAACCACTGAGGGCGGAATTTCGGCGAAATACGCGATTTTTACATTTTGAGCGAAAATTATGAGGACCTCTTTTCGTAGGCTCGTAACTCGGCGAACTTTATAGACTGGAGCCTGAGCATGCACCTTTTGATAGCACGGTTCCCAGTGATTTTTGACTTGGAAAAGCAAGCAGGCTAGTTTTCTGACAAATTCGCGAAAAGTGCAGGCAAATTTACGAACTTTCGTGACTCAGTTACAGTCACCTCACAATATCTCTACAAAAAGCCCCTGTCTTCTTCAAAGACCACTATTTTCGTAAACAGCGTGTTCGAAAACCTTTTTGGGCGAAGTTTCTTTACAATCCAAGGTCATCGACATTTTGACCAAAACCCATCGGCGAGATTCAGGGCGTAGAACGAGAAAAAATCGAGTCACCTAAATTTCTTTGAAAACTTGCTCATAGAGGTTCTCTGACCTGCTGATTACGAAAACCACATCTGCTTAGCAGCAGAGCTTCTCATTTTAGGGTCACCGTGGGCAAAATTTGAGACAACACGATTTTCCAGAATTCACCAGCTCTTCTATCTTTTCTCAAAAAGATTCTCCGGTTGCTTTTTAGCGCTCGATAATCTGCGGAAGCAGCACAATCCAACAGTGCTCAATAGAGTCTTTTATGTTTGATGTGCGCTGCGTTGCGACCTTGTGAATATACGCGCGCAGAAAATTTTGAAAAAATTGAAAACGGAACTTCAAGAACATACTGTTTACAGTAAGATTCGACTTGACAAGATGAACACAAATCTGCTTTCTGATTTCGAAAATGTTCGTTCTAAAGAAAGTTACGGCTAGTAAATTGGAACAGCTTAATTTTTCCAGAGTTCATCAGCTCTTCTATCTCTTCTGAAAGGGAGTCTTCGGCTGCTGTTTAGCGCACGATAATCTAGTGAAAGAGTGCTAACGAACGGTGCCCATGGCAGTCTCCTATGTGTGATGCTTGTTGCGTTACACCCATGCGAAGAGGCGTCGGCATGCAAATTCAAGATTATTGAAAACAAGATATTGGAGACAATCGTATATCAAAAGATTTGCCTTGACGAGCTGAATACAAAGTTGTTTTCGGATTTTGAATATACTCATTCGGAAAAAAGTTATGGCCCTGCGTAATTTGCGTGATTCACATGAATTTCGCGGAATTCCCGGAATTTTTGCATGTTCTGTGAGTGGTTTTGTACTATAAGAGATAGAGCGATAAAAACTCACACAGCGTTTTCTAAAGTACATTTCTTATTGTATATCAAAAATGATCCAATTTTGTGTCGTCAGTGATAAATGATAAAATGATGATATCAATGACAACGACAGATAAGAATGGCTTAAATTCATGCGGTCGATTTCCACGTTCATCTTCCATATAGGTACAGAATTTCAGCCCAGGCTTCGGCGTGAAGCGAGTTGAAGCAAAAATGCCATTCTAGGTAAGAATTGGCAGCAATGGTATTTGTCGATGAAAAATCGATCGATTGCTGCAGCGAGGAATCTACCAATTGCACCGAGCAATAGAACTAGAAAAGCCTGTAGATCACTTATAATGAGAGAAAGAGCGATAGAAATTCACACAGCTTTTCCTACAGTACTTTCCTTACCATATGCAAAAAATGATCCAAAAATGTGTTATTATCAGTGATAAATGATAAAATGCTTATATCAGCGATAAGGGTAGATAAAGACTGCCCAATTTTTCGCGATAGTTTTCGATAACGAGAGCTTCGTACCAGAATCTCCTATACGCGATTTACACTGTGATAATTGTTCACAAAAGCCTTAACGTAGAAAACAACAAGGTATCATTGTATGTCTACCCCGTCACTATGAAATACGGACATACCGTATATCAAAAGATTCGTCTCATCAAGCTGAAGCCAAATCTTCATCAGATTACAAATAAAGCTATTTTAAAAGAGGTTGTAGCTAAATCCCGCTTATCCCGCAAATCCCGCGAATCCCGCAAATCCCGCGAAGTCGCGAATCCCGCGAATCCCGCGAATCCCGACAATCCCGCAGTTTTGGACAAATTCCACCGCTGCAACTGACTTTCTTATTACAGTGAATTTCTGTTTAATACTTTATTGTAAAGAGGTCGTATGATGATTTAGAGGATTGGATTGATTGATTGACTGATTGATTGATTGATTGATTGATTGATTGATTGATTCGAGACATTGGCATACTTCCGGATTTTCATTTATTGGTTGCTTCTGCAGCATCATAAAAAGCGCATTGATGAATGTAAAACCCATGAATCTATCTGATAAGTGACATAAGGAGCGCTAAGTACGTTTTGTGCGGGCTGATAACGGCTTCACTCTCGGCGCTCAACACAGTAGTCAACCGTCACTTTTTACTTGTTTTATCTCGGATCTGAATAGAATGAGACTTTTGCTTGCATGCGGTTTATGTAATTCTTCTTAAGATTTTGTATTCGGCTCTTTATGAAGCAAGTCAGAATTTAGCTTGGTAGAGGTGCTGCCTAAACCCAATCGCAGCTATGGGGTCGATCTACCGTTCGGAGGTGATGAGCCTCTGCCAGATTTTCTTACAAACGGATTCTGCTTATCAATGTGTAGCGGAGCTAGGAGAGTTGGGCTTAGTGCAATTCTTGGATGTAAGTGAGCATCTAGTACAAAGAACACAATATATACTCATTCTTCGCTTAGCTGAATGAAGAGATGAACGCATATCAAAGAAAATTTGTTAACGAGATACGGCGCTGCGATGAAATGGAAAGAAAGCTAAGTGAGTTAACAGTGCTTTTTCATTTTGAATGTCTTAGGTTCATTGTGAGCCAGAAATAGAATGTTCATGGATAGAATTTATCTAAACATTCCTAACAGATGATCACTGCAGAGTACATCCAAGACGAAGTAACGAAAGATGATGTTGAGATTCAAGACTGTGATGACCACATTCCAGCACCTCAGCCGAAAAATATGACAGAGCTTGAGGTATGCGATGACTTACTTTTAGTTAGATTCTAATGTTACCTAAGCTTTAGGGCAATTTCGAGAAACTTGAAGAGGAGCTGCTGTCGATTAATTCTAGTTCTAAGCAGCTCATCAAAAACCACGTTTTTCTGCTTGAGATGAAGGCTGTCTTGGAGAAAGTTCATTTACTACTCGACGCAGTAAGAAACAACTCTTTTTGACTTATTCAATTTATGCAACTCGCCAGAATTCAGCAAGGCTGCTGTATGAAATAACTTTGGTGAAGCAAGAATTGCACTGGCTAACTCTGGCACCATTGTGCAAAATGCAAATCCACAAAAATATTCTGACAATACTTATAGGATAAGCTGAGTTGGTCCGTGAGATATGCATGCACGGAAAAATCCTAAAAAAATCATCTGAAAATATTTCGAACAATTTTTCAAACAAAGTTTTCTACTTTTCAGAACCGATACGTGCTTTTTTGACTGTGCATATTGAAATTTTACTCAAAAAAAAAGAAATGTCAATAAAAAATCAGAATCATAATTATTAGCAGAAAAATCAGTCGCCACTAATGTCTCGCAGCAAAAAGAGTAAGTTATAACAGCATAATCGAAACTAAGAAATTTTTGGGATTCCAGCATTTTAAAACCAAAAAAATTTTAAAAATATTACGGTTGAACTGTTCCTGTTAATCAGCTTGTATCACCGTGATGTGCCAATACCGGGTTTTGATTCAAGCATTTCAAAAAGAGCTTAATTCTTCTTTATAAGCTTTGTTGAATTTACCAAATACATCGTGAGCACCAATACTTACGATTTTTGAAAGAAAGTTTGGTGCGAGGCAGACCAACCTAACATTTTGAATTTTCGATTTTGATTTTTACCTCCAGAAATCAATTGAAACCAACAAATCAATCACCTTCCAATCCCAATTTCAATTTGTTTCTTATCTCCATAGCATCTAAGATCACCAATTGGTCTTCAGTCGTTATCAAATTGCGTCTAAGAACACAAGTGTTAGACGTCAATGCTCTTTGTGGAATTTAGTAGAAAAAGTCTGGGAATAGGGAACTATATAATGTAATGATAGGTTTACGAGAGGGGCGGATGATAAAACTTTTTGTGCTGAAGTGAGCGGTCGCTCATAGTAGTTTCTAAGGTTATTTCAGAAATTCAAAAACCAGAGAAAAATGACTTTTTTCACTCAGATGTAGGCCTTAGTTTATGAAGAATGAACAACATTAGAGGATTGGATCTTTCAACAATTAAGGTCAAATTGGGAGGACGTAAGCTCACATATATTCACTCCAAGGTTTTTCGGTTAGAAAAAACATTATTTAGAGCAACTATTAACATTATCATTGCTAGTATTCACAAAGCAGCATGAACTTGGTAATAAGTCACAAATTTCTAAATGAGCTTTTTTGGCACTAGTATAATTCTTTTATCCAGAAAACCAGGTATGCAGAAAATTAGAGAATTTGTAAATTTAGGGCACCAGACGCGATGCAGCGATGTCAATTAGCGAAGCATCTCGTGGAGAGGCTGGCCCATTTACCGTTGGACTAAAAAATGAATATGAAAAGGAGAAAAGAGAAGAAAATGAGCTGAAGTATGTCTCTTAATTACAAATGTGAAAAAAATTGAACGTGAGCGAGTAGTCATGGCCACCGCTGAATATGGGCAAAAATTGCCATTACCTCAATCCTTACATCCAATTTCTCAGAGCTTCTGAGAGCGGCAGAGATCACAGCTCATTTCATTGACTTGATCAAGAATCCCATCAGTTCTTATCGAAATGCGTGATTTGTGATCGACAATTTGTATTGTACACAAGATTACCATAGTTTTTTTTTTCGATGAATGTGACAATGGGCTATTGGTAGCTTTCTATCAATCCTATCGTGACTTTTGCGAAAAAAACAAAGCACGGCATGAAGAACACGAAACTTTATGAAATCAATGACAGAGGTGGGCGAATTTCAAGAAGTAAGCTTTACTGCTGTAGATGTTAGAATTAAAGGAAAAGCACTACAAAGTCGTATGCTAAATTCCAGCAATTTTTGCAGATTTTTATTGATTATCAAATTCAAAAACAAAGCATGCTTACTGCTATGGGAGCATGGAGCATGCTCAAATGCTATGGGCCAACCGCAGTTGTTTCCTTTGGGGTTTTTTTTGAAATCATTCCTCTTAATTGGAAAGAAAATTGCATTTGATGGACAATGTGAACAGTTTCGATGGAAGGCTGAGGTGCTTGAAAAGCCATGCCAGTGATGAGAAGATAGTTGCTTTGAAGATGGCAACAAAACTTCTATTGATAGAAGCTTTTATACGCGCATTTCAACATTGTTCGCATTGTGATTCGAGAACATTGACTGGGAGGACATAACTCTCTCGTAGAATAAATTTCTACACAGCTAGTTTAGTCTCACGGAAGGTTAAGATTATTTCAGTTTTCTACACCGGAAACGTTACAGAAGTATTTTTGTAGTTTAGAAACTTTTAAGTTATACAGTAGTATGTATTTGCTTCATAGCGTAATTTTTACCGTTCAGATTTATTGCTGGTGTCATCAACCGCAACAAAGTGATCGCATTCGAGCGATTTATATGGCGTTTTTGCCGTGGTAAAGTTTTTGTCCGTACCGCAGATATAGAAGAAAGCACAGAGCTATTTAACGTAAGATTTTTATTAATACTGGAGGAAGGACACACAATAAAAATTTAGACGCAAAAAGCAGCGGAGCCGAAGGCAGTATTCATGCTGTTTTTCTCCGGAGAACAACTGAGGTCTAGAGTGACTAGGATTTGCAGTGGCTTTCATGCCACTACCTATACTTGTCCTGAAAGTCCCAGCGAGCGGGCCCATCTTCTTTCCCAAATAAGCACACAAGTAAGAAAAAACTGGTGATACAGTTTTCTAAAAATGAATGTGGCCGTTTAGGTTGGTGATATGGAAAGTGTCATACGAAAAACCCTCGACTATCGTAGTAAAATCATCTATGCTGCAGCATTGAGCATCAAGAAATGGACCATAATGGTAAGCTCTGCGTCACGTCCATTCTATAGGGGACTCTTAACCTTAGGTTGGCTAAAAAATCACTTCGTTTTTCTCATGCAACCCTTCACAAAAAAATTCTTGTGGTTTTTTTGATTTTTTGAGAGGCAGTGGCTCAAAGCTTCTATCATCACACATCAGCAATTCATTCTAAGAATTTTCTACAAGGACAGTCATGCCAAATTTTGCAAAAGCTCAGTTCTTCGACTTGTAAGGCTTTGTGCTGTGATCGAATTAGGGATGAGTATTTTGGTACTTGGATGCACCCAAGTTTCCTCTATTCGGCGATTGACAAAATTTTATGATCTGTCACTTCAAAACTCTTTGATTTGTAAAATGAAAATTTCTCACATTTGCGCACATTGATTGACAAAATTGGAGTTTCTCATTTTCTTTGGGCCTATTCTTCAGAGAGAAATAGAATTTTATTAGCCAACATAGTACTTCTTTCTTGGCATATTATAAATCAAAGAAATGAAAATTTCAGCTTCTCAAACTCAAGTCTATATTCGCTACGCTGAATATGTTCTCCGTTGATGTCACACAAAAGTGTTTGATTGCTGAGTGTTGGGTCCCTACCGCAGATCTTCAGCTGGTTAGAAATGCTCTACGCAAAGGAACTGTGAGTATTAGCACTGATAGACAATGGCAGACAAAAAAAATCATAGGAACAATCCGGTTCACCCATCCAAGCAATTTTGAACGAAATGGAAACCGATATGGTACCACCCACACACTTCAAGCTGAACAAATTCACACAAGGGTTTCAAAATATCGTTGACGCTTATGGTATCGCCGATTATCGAGAAGTAAATCCAGGTAAATAAAAGACACTACTTTTTCAATTTCAAACATGACAAGTTTTTTTTCAGCCCCATGGACGATCATCTCCTTCCCCTTCTTGTTCGCCGTTATGTTCGGTGATTCTGGACACGGTATCATCATGTTCTTAGCCGCGCTAGCCTTCGTCGTCTTTGAGAAGAAACTGATTTCGATGAAAATTAAGGACGAGGTAGGTATTCGGACCGCGAATTGCTGCCCACTATTCCCTCAAGCAGGGCAATATCAATTTAAAATGTTGTTGAAACTCAGAGCTATCAAGTGTCTTACCAAGTATCTGATTAGTGAAAGTGTTTGTCCAAATGAAATAAGATTCTTCGGGCATTATCGAACGCTGATCTCAAATGTATGCTTCATATATGTGGAAAGCTCCTCTATATGAATGTTTGGAAATTTGGAAGCTGCCAAAAGTTTTACAGTCACTCGTGTGGCAGTAGTCTTGAACTTGATATGATAAATTTTACGGTGAAAGATCAGAGATAGGAATCCGGAAGAAAACGGTGCATATTCTTGCGCTGCGAAAACTATCTCTCTGCAATTAAAGTACGCTGGAGATTCGAAAAATTTTTTGTCAGTCATTTTACACTATTTTACACTATCAAACCACCCTCACATAGTCGAAACTCTTTGTGTTTTTGCACAGGTCAGAAATTTCAGACCTTATAATCCATGCAGAAAAACCTTTTTTAGATGCAAACAGAGTTCACAATGAACAATCCTTTCAGATTTTCAACACATTCTTTGGCGGGCGCTATGTTGTACTGCTTATGGGAATGTTCTCGATCTACACTGGATTCTTATACAATGACATCTATTCGAAATCTATCAATGTCTTTGGATCCTCATGGAAAAATCCATACCCGTGAATAGCATTCAGTCATCTTTCGTGAACTCCAATCACTGCAAAAAGCACTTTTAGGGAATCATTACTTGCCAAAATGGACAATCAAAGCAGTGCTTCTCCTTTGGATCTTACATGGCCACCAGAATATTCGTATGACTCCAGCAGGGTAACTAAAATGTTTTGACTAAATTCGTTTATGGGTCAGAATTGGCATGAATTGTATTTATTTAGGGACCGTATCCATTTGGTGTCGACCCAGTCTGGAATTTGGCAAAGAATAAGCTCAACTTCCTTAACCCTCTAAAAATGAAAACCTCAATCATACTTGGAATTGGACAAATGGTCTTTGGTTTGATGCTCTCATTGTGCAACCACATGTAAGTAAAATGTGCCATTGGGTATGCCACATGACTTTAGAATTTTTCAAAAGAACTGCTTTTCAGCAATAATCACTCTATGGTCGACATTTTCTTCGTTTTCCTTCCGGAATGTTTCTTCCTTGGATGCATTTTCGTGTACTTATGCGTCATGGTCAGTTTTAAACTATTATTCCGAAAGTTAAATTAATAAGACTGTCAAACAGAAAAGATAAGACATTTAAGAGCACCAAACACTCTCCTGGGAAAAAATCATACTAATCATTTTAGGTAGTGCTCAAATGGATCTTTTTCTATGTGAATCCCACTTTTATCTTTGGTCAACTATATCCAGGATCAAATTGTGCGCCATCGCTTCTGATCGGTCTTATAAACATGTTTATGCTCAAGGCGAGAGAGGTAAACTTTAAATAAAAATTTACATAAAATGGTCACAAAATATTTAAACTTTATTAGCCCGGATTTGTTCAATGCATGAACTGCCCGAATGCTACAACATGGGTGATAATTGATGGCAAAAACTATACTTATGCGAATTACGATCAACAAAACGCATGTTATTTGCAACAATGGTATCCACATCAGGTGAGCTTTCAGCTCAGGCGTTCATCGCAAAAATATTTCTCTTTTAAGGCAATTATCGAGCAAATTCTACTCATCCTCGCCGTTATTGCCATCCCAGTAATGTTATTGGTGAAGCCATTCTATATTCGTTGGCGCCATAATAGGGGGCTACCAATTGCAGGAGGACATTCTCATGGCGATGGCGATGAAGAGGCAAGTCATTCTTAGAAGGCAGTGTCGCGGCAGGATTTCTTTTTCTAGTTTTTTCATCTTTTCGGAAATTTCTCGCCATGAGGAATCCACATTTAGGCTCTTTAGCGCATGAAAATGGCGAAAATGATTTCCGAAGCCCCGCATTGAAGATACGCTGGAATTCTTCTGCGCCCCGCCCCCCCCCCCCTTTTTCCGGTCCCCGCCCATTTGCACGTATTCTACACTGAATGCGGGCCTGGAAAGCTTCGGAAATAGCTCATTTTAGCCATTTTCGAGCGCTGAAAAGCCCAGATATGGGTTCCTCATGGCGAGAAGGCTCCGAAAATCTGGACGATCAAATCCTGCCAAGACACCGCCTTCAAGTGACACAAGTAATTCACAATTAACAAAGGTCACACGGTTATGAGCTTTTGGTTAGAAAGTAGGATTGGTAGCAGGTATTACAAATGCCTATAGCCTTCGCTTACGCGGCCATTTCAAGCATCGTACTGTAAATTTGGCTTCAATGTAGATGTACAATATGGAGCGAATCACTTTCTCTTCTCTTGATTGTACGAGTACAAAGCTACTGAGGGCCCTCCCTATCTTGCCTTAGAAAGCAAACATTGAATTTCCTGGGAATATTTATACTAGCTTTAGACAAGCTGAGTTCAAACATGAAGTTTGCAATTCATCGCATACCTTTTCTTAGACTTATGCCAAATATTCCTTAAAAATGCGATTACGCTGTTTCAAAAGCCTTAAAATATTGAGTAGTGGAGTCGGCATGCGTAGGACCTAATACACAACTTTTTAGATTATTGAAAGAATTTAAAAACCGCGCCATCCACAATGCTACCGTATACCTAAATTTTCTACCGTAATCCTATAGTAACAAAGATCAGTTTGCTCCATATTGTAAAATCTCTTCATAGAAGAGAATCACCGAAGATCAAACATTTGATACTTTTTTAGGACACCCTGTAGATACAATACCAAAGCAGAAGCTCATTTTGAATAAGTCTTTATTACCAGTTGACTATCCTTCGAAAATATAAGCTCCTGCTTTCGTAGAAGGAAGTGAAATTTTTGAGAGCATTCTTTGCGGAAGCAGGTACCGACAAGCCTTTGGAAGTTTGCTTGGCGAATAATGAAGACAATCTGAATCAGCTTTTAACGGTGATAGTAATGACAGCATTGAATGGTAGTCGCCAAACTGTGCCCTGTCCTTCCAGCCGCTTTTTCTCAGCTATGAGAAGCAAACCTTGATAGGAGTGATAGAATGATATTCTTTTCCCAATTTCAGTTCAGCTTTGGTGATGTGATGGTCTATCAAGCCATCCATACTATTGAATTTGCCCTTGGATGTATCTCCCACACCGCTTCCTACCTGCGGTTATGGGCTCTGTCACTCGCTCACGCACGTATGTTCAACATCAGCCAATTCAAAAATGAGTGTTTATGTATTCGCGTCCTTCAGAGCTTTCGGAAGTACTTTGGGATATGCTTCTATCGATAGGATTGAATATGGGCGGATGGGGAGGATCAGGAGCAATATTCATTCTTTACTTCTTCTTTGGAGTACTTTCAATATCAATTCTGATTCTTATGGAAGGCCTTTCTGCCTTTCTGCATGCACTCCGTTTGCACTGGTAAAGATACAACATAAAGTAATCTCACACCAATTTTATCACTCACATTTAGGGTTGAATTCAACTCGAAGTTCTATGGTGGTACGGGCTATGCATTTACGCCTCTCTATTTCACTCGACTCATACGTATTGAAGAAGGATTGGAACAAGAGTGATCACCTCACACCAATTTCTTTAAGCAATAAATATAGTTTCAATCTCCAATCTAAACCAAATTTTTGAGACCAGAATAAAAACTCATAGTTGTGTTATCGGCAGTGGGGCTCTAAAAAGTCATCCACCTAAGGCCCCGGACAGACTTCACGCGATTTGATCGTCGCGACTCAATTGCCGACATTTCCATTCATTTTCATTTCACATTCAAAAATTTCGGGCTGGAAAAGTATCACAACCGAAATGCAAGTTGATCGGCATGGAATGATGTTGTAACAGTTGTCTCGTCGCGATTCAGTAGCGACGATCAAATCGCGCGAAGTCTGTGCGGAGCCTAAATAGTGGGCATTTGAAAAATCGTAACGATGGCGCGACCTCGCGCGACACGCACGCCACTTCCGGAAATCGCACTTTCTTGGTTTTCATTTCTAGTCGAGTGGTTTTTTTTTGCCTACGTATGATAATAATCAGACGCTGGAAGTGACTGATTGTGAGTAAACGTTGACGTGGTGCCTTCTTGTATGAGCGTTTTATGCTCCTGCGGGGGCAAAGTCCGCAGTAAAATCTGTCGTCACGATTTTATTAGTGAACTCTAACTAAATCGGTTGTACAAATATGCTACAAGCGTAGTCGAGTTTTTTGTGACCTCATAGCGCTTTTTACACAACAACATCGCTCTTTAGACCTTTAAGCAAATTCAATTTTATGCCTAAAAATACAATAATTTTGGACACTTTCAAGTCTGAAAATGCATTGATTTGAAACTCAAATTCATGCCTGAAAATGCATTGATTTTGTAGTTTTTCAAGATGCCCTCTTATAACTTAATAGAAGAAGATCCAGAATTTATGCATTCCGAAGGAAGTTATGGCGATATTCCGAAAATTCCGCGAAATTCCCGGAATGTCGCAAAATTCCGGAAATTCCGGAAATAAAAGGAGGTCTCGCGGTTAACCAGAGCCGTTGATTTCGAATATGAAACTTGCATTTCACTGTTAAGCTTCTCTCGTAAATTATGTCAGTACCGAAACAATGGATTTCTGATAATCGTCAAAATTTTGAACACGCCTTTTGAAAAGGCGTGTCCAAATCTGCCAACGCGCAAAAAATTACATGGTGAAAAATTACATGGTGAAATCTCCAGGCATGAAAACCTTGCTACACAATTTTCCAGATTTTTCAGAATTTTTTTTGAACGGCATATCTCACAGTGGCGCCCTATGCTCCAAGTTTCTACCGTAATCCTACAGTAATGAAGAGAGGTCGGTAATCCACTCCATACTGTGAATCTAAGTTTAAGGCACTCTACAAATTGGTACCCAAATCTTCTCGAAAGCTCTCATGACAAGAAAGTAATTAACAATCAAATAGTAGGCATATATTTTGGGGTGTAAAAAATATAAAGCTGAATATCTGTTTGTCTGTCTCTGTGTGTGTGTCTGTATAGGTGTGTCTGTACGTATGTCCCGAATAAAAAAATTCTATTTCTGCGGGGCTGGTGTCGTAAGCACTTTTCGTAATCGATCTATATCGATCTTATCGATTTTGCAAAGTTTGAGCTACGGGGCTGGGAGCTGACATAGGGGATAAATGAACATGCCATGCTGATTACGAAAACATTATAGACAAGGCCAAGCGGAACCGGGGGCCAGCTAACATGATATGGAAGTTCGCTATTCCTCTCTCTTGCATAACGCTTCACCTTACTATTATACAAAAATAGGTCAACAAGGACAACACAAGAAAAAGGGTACTTTTCTGCACTTCACTCCTCGCAAATTCGGGAGGAACCCGTCGCCAGAGGTGGGAGGGGGAAGGGAGTGGTACATGACAAGTTGACTTCATCATAATGATAGCTGGTAATCCGTAGAGTATCAGGTGCAGTACATGTTGTAACTATTTACAAAAAAAGGATATCTGCTTTTATATATTGTTTCATTTATACACATAATTCTGATCAAAGAGGCATTCAATAGTAAAATTGTTCTGCTATGGACACTCCCGTAAGCTACGTCATCCTGTTCTAAATGCAAACAAATGAGCAACAGGTCAAAGGCAATGATAATGAAAATTTGAGCCTAGCACACAATAGGTTCTGAGAATGGCAAATTGAAGGATATCGAAGAGAATCAGAGTCTGAGCACAAGACATGTCCTTGCTGGAGCGTAAACCAAGAGATGATTACGTCGGCCAGCGTATCCCTCCGGGAAAGTCATGTGTGTAGAATCCCGTTTGAGGCGATTCCAGCCTCCAAATTCCTCATCGTCACTGTTTAACGCCATTTTATAACTAAAGCATCAAATCAGGCAATTTCGAAGCTATCAATCTGCTACAGACACTTACGTTCCAGGCACTTCGACTCCTACTTTGTAATCAGGGAAACTCTTCGTCGGATGGAAGTTAAACACAAATACTAGTCCAGCTCGTTCAAAGCAGATCATCTTATCATCGTTGTGTTTCCATGAGACGTAGGCCTATGGATTTTTCAAAAATTTACAACGCTTAACATTTTTGTCAACTTACCGGTCCTTTGTGCAGGAACCCAGTGCTCTGTTCGAGCTTATTCATTTCAGCATCCCATTTGTTCAAAAATTTATATCTAAAAGCAGAACAAATGCCTTTCAAGCAGAAATTGGTGATATACGAATTAATCACCTCAACATTTCATCATCAGCCAGGTTGAATTGCCGTCTGGCGTAATGGAAGGACTCATTGTTGCCAAAGCGCGGGAAGTCCAACCATTCCGGATGACCGAATTCGTTGCCTAGAGATCACACTGGTATTTTCATATAAATGCTTTGCAAGACAAAATTTACACTTTTTAACTTGGACCACCTACACAACTCATTATAAAAAACGCAGACGATTGCAGCGAAAATACGAGAAAACAGAATGAAATATCGCTTGCCTATAAAATTCAGCCATGCTTCACCGCCAAGACCATAAGTGAGTAAGCGGATCATTTTGTGCAGTGCGATGCCGCGCTCAATGATAGGTGTGTACGGAGTTGTGAGTGACATGAAGTCGTACATCTCTGAAAGCAGTCTTTGAGAAAAGCATCACGCAAACTCTTACAAGTTTGAGCAATCTTGTTACGAAGACGTGCAAATTGATGGCCACAGACAAGTGCTCTTTCGCATACTAAGAATGAGAAAGGAGATGATACATTATTTCGTACCTTTATCCATAAGCCAAAATGCGATGGTCTTGTCACCAACGAGAGCTTGATCGTGAGATTCGGCATAAGCGACATTAGCTTCTCCCCATCTGTAAGGGCATGCTTGAGTACAGCTCGAACACAGGTAAGTTGCAGTAATGTTGTGCCGACAAAACATACCGTCTGTTTTCCAGTGTATGTACAATGTCCTCTATCTTCCAGTCTTCGTCTTTCATGTGTTTCAAAATTTTGATCCACATATCCGGAAGAGCCATGGCGAGACGGTAATCAAAACCTTGACCACCTTCCTCGACCGGACGGCACAAAGCTGGCATACCAGAAACTTCCTAAAGCGTAAGGGTTAACCTGATGCTTCTGAAAAGCTGAGATTACCTCAGCAATTGTGATAATTTCAGGATATTTCTTATGCAAGAAATCGTTGGCAAGCATCAAATAGACGAGAGAATCAGTATCGGCGTTCAACCCAAAGTACATTGGGTAACCGCCAGATAATGCGTCAGCTGAACCATCATCTGCAGAATAGGGGGGAACGTAAGTATAAAAGGAACATGCATCAACCTATTCCATGGCTGTGGTAGATCATCGAGGTAACACCATCGAAACGGAATCCGTCGAAACCATATTCATCTACCCACCAGCGGATGTTGGACAGAAGAAAACGTAGCGTTTCAATCCTGAAGTAAATGTCGGTAAACTCTGAATGGCGATCTTAAACTAAAAATGTATAAAAGACCTCCAAAACAGCTGAAAATACAACGTTTGACCTACTGGGTATAATCGAACAACCGCGAATCCCAGAGGGTATGTACTCCACGCGCTCCACTGTGGAAGTAGCAACTATCGGTACCATCCCATTCATTCAGACCATCAAGTACATTCTTTGATGCGTGTGAATGCACCTGAGACAGGAAACTTAGAATCGAAATGGAGTACTCGCTAAGGGCCGCATGCACTAATATCTCCGCGGGGAGGGGATCGCAGCTCCAGAAGCTTCATATACTGAAGCTCCGGATATCTGGATTTCACGCTGTCTACCTATCCGTAAGTATTCCTACTACCCTTCACTATGAACATGTTGAACAGGAGCGAGAAGCTGTACAAACCGCATTTTCCAGCTTTTATATGATCCCTGATGATCCCCGGCGCTTTTCTTTAAAGTCATTTTTCTTTCTCCGAAGTTAACGAAAACCTTCCAAAGTTGTACTGAACATCTAACACAACACTGCTAAGCATGTTGCTGATGAGAACAGATGAGTTTTTGAAAAGTCGAATTTTTCGATAAGCCTCAAATTTCGACCTGTGGATCATCGCAAATTTCATGACTTCAAAACATCATTTGTTCTTAGCAGCAACATGCTTAGCACTGTCGGGTTAGACAATCTGCACAACTCTGGAGATTCTTCGTTAACTTCGGAGGAAGAAAAATGACTTTAAAGAAAAGCGCCAGGGATCACCAGGGATCATACAAAAGCTGGAAAATGCGGTTTGTACAGCTTCTCGCTCCTGTTCAACATGTTCATAGTGAAGGGTAACAGGAATACTTACGGATAGGTACACAACGTGAAATCCAGGTATCTGGAGTTTCGAAATATAAAGCTTTCTTTTAAGCTGCGATCCCCTCCCCGCGGGGATGTTAGTGCATGCGGCCCTAAGTCTACTCACCACATCCAGTAGAATGGTGATACCCAAACCATGGGCCTTGTCGACAAGATATTTCACATCATCAGGTGGACCGCTTCGACTGCAAGGAGCATTTTGAGGAAAAATGTGAAGATGTACATTCAGTATGGTAGGATACAACAGACCTAGCCGGAGCAAAGAAACTGGTAACCTGGTAGCCGAACGATGCATAGTATACGTGTTCCATAACCGCCATGAGCTGGATGCAGTTGTAACCTCAAGTGAAGGGTCTTACGTTTGCGCATTTACCAAATTTCAACTAATCTATACTGTTTTCAAAAAAAAGCAACAAATTATGGAAATGTTTCTTCTCTACGAAAACCAAACTTATGCACCCCCCCCCCCTTTCCAAAAGCAACCTCAATTATATTCAAAAACTTCTCCCGTAAAAAACAACATAAGAATAGCGAAATAAGCGTCGCATGCATAATTGTATGCTATGTGTTGGGATCAACTAATCAAATGTGTTTTAAAATTACAAAAACATTGTAACATGCAGTTTCAGTATTACTGCAAGCCAAAAAGAGACTTTGTTTATTGAGTGAAATTCAAAAGAGGAATAGGCTACTGGAAGACACACCTTGCCTGGCGATTCTGGGAATGACATCATCAGCAAATGCTCGGTAGGTATTGACTTTTCCTTCAGGACTGCTGATACCAACATGAGCTTCATAGATACGAAGCGATGCCGGTCTCGATGGTCGTGGATGTTTGAATTTGAATTTTTCCGGGGGATTCCAGAATTGCTGTAAAAGAAACAGATATAACTCCGGTGTTATCTTGTTCGGTAAATATTGCGGTGATACCGCTCTTACCAGTGTTTCATCTTTATCGTTTTACTGGTTACCATTGTTACTATTTTACCACTGACTCTTTTTTAAACAATTTCGTTAGTTGGTGACATGTTTTCCTCACAAAGCTCCTGATGCAAAGGAAAACGAAGTCAACAACTGAAAAAATCGTGGCGCAAATACTACTCTGATCTTCTAGCACTCAGCCACCAACGGGACAAAATTGGTAACGTCGTAACAGCGACAGCGCCAGTAATATGGTGTTAACGGTAACGCGGAAACATAGTTGGTATAGCCAACTTTTTAGATCAAAAGAATTGCTATGAAGAAGCATCGCATGGTGACTCATATAGGACTGTGGTTAAACTATGATTACCTGATGATGTATAACCGTTTCCTTGGGCCTTGTTACATATTTGGCCCACGGGCTAAGTTTGTCCACCGTATTTCCATTCCGCGTAACAGCTACCTGAAGTTGGGTAGATAAGTATCAAACATCACAAAAAACGGCTGACAGATACCTTGACAATTGATCCGTGTGGAATGGGACAAGAACCGTCAGGATTGGCGGGTATTTCCAGCTTCCATTTACCAAAATCCCCTCTCTTGTACTTATGGGATTCATGATTCCATCCATCTAAAAAAAAAACTAGGATTTCTATGTCATGTGAGCAGACTATGATTGTAGCGTTGATATGGCGACGATATTTTGGCGTGAAAAATGGGGACGGCGCCAAATCTAGCGAAAATGTACTCGATAGCGAGTTTCGACACACCAACTAAGATTGAGTTAGTACCGATCCGTGAGTTCCGGAACAGTTCCAGCACAGCGCACAATTCGAGGCTGCGCAGGAACTGTTCCGGAACTTACGGGTCAGTATGAACCCAGCCTAATGTCGCCACCGCAGGTGCATGATATTGACAATATGTTGACAACATGCGTTGCTAACAAATGGCAACAAATTTGTCGAAGCCCAACATGATGTTGCATGTTGGCTGCAACAGCTGGCCTAGCTAACAGCCCAATATTGTTGCCTACATGCAGTTGCATGTTACTAACATTGGTAACAGAGCACCCTACTCACTTACTATGCTAAAACGCAAACAAAAATATCATTCATTCTCTGACTATAAAACATGAGTACGCTGACATGGAGTCCCGATGCGGTAGCTGAACATGAATTGTCGTTGAAGCGCATAGGAAGCGGAGACATGGTCTGTTGCTATGGCACCCGCCATACTTGATCCGCTTAATCCACTTGATCCGCTTGATCCGCTTCATCATTGGTCAATTCAGTGAACTGACCAATAGTGAAGCGGATCAAGCGGATCAAGTGGATTAAGCGGATCAAGTATGGCGGGTGCCTATGGAGTAGACGAACGAGCTCCGCCAGCAGACGCGGCGTCCGCGCTTATACTCCTACGCACACGCTACTGGATGCTGTCTGACTAACAGTAGTCCGCACGGCGCCTAACAGCGGCATCTGCAGCTACTCTCCGTCGTAATGTCAGTTTCTCCATCAATCCTGTGTTAGGACTACGGCTGTTACCAGCCAGCTCGCGTGTGATTTTACTATGAACGCTTCTGCCCCTAGGGGCAGAAGCGCTCATAGTAAAATGAGCTCACAGACTGGATATAGGGGGCTACGGTCATATCGGCTGCGGACATTGCTCGCGTAGGACGCCATAGGCACGCGCCATACTTGATCCGCTTGATCCACTTGATCCGCTTGATCCGCTTCACCATTGGTCATTTCAGTGAACTGACCAATAGTGAAGTGGATGAAGCGGATCAAGCGGATCAAGCGGAGAACCGCTTCGCTATTGCTCGATTCATTGGATCGACCAATGACGATGCGGATCAAGTGGATTAAGCGGACCAAGTATGGCGCTTGCCATAAGGATCTATGACCTAGTAGATATTACCCCGCATCTTTTGAAATCGTTCCACTTTATTGAAAGCAACATCCGATGGCAAAAAAAATCCAGAGAAAAGATTGACAGTGAGGAAGGTCTGTTCGCGTAATGAAACGGATGCAAACTCACTGGTCTCCACAATTTGAGCTAGCCCTATATATATACAGGGTGTCCCAAAAAAATGTATCGAACGTTTGATCGTTAATATCACTCTTCCCAAGAATTCTTTTGCCTTGCTTCAGGTATCGTTTTGTAGAGCTGGCTTCAACTTAGATTTGCGTTATGGAACGAACCACCCATCTCTCTTCATTACCGTAGGATTACGGTAGAAACGTGAAACATATGGTGTCAATGTGGAAAAAGCTGCCGTTTCAAAAATTTTCAAAAAATTGTGAAAACTTGTGTATTGGGGTTTTTATGGACGCTGAGTTCAATACTCAACTGTTCTCAAGATTGCGAAGCTTTCTAAATGGTGTAACCGCACTTTTGAGGTACATTGAAAAAATGGCCGCTACCTCTTACCTGGCATAACTCTTCAATAAAACATCATAATAAGTCGAAACTTTACAGTTATAATCAGCAACTCTAATTAGCCTAGTGTAGAAGCTTTCAGGCTGTTTTGTTTCCTTTCTGAGGCAAAATATGGCCTTTCATTGCTTAAAACCCTCTTTGAAGTTTCTACCGTAATCCTACAGTAATGAAGAGAAATGAGTGATTCGTTCTGTAATGCAAATCTAAGTTGAAGCCAGCTCTACAGATTGGTACCTGAAGCAAAAGAAAAGGCTTCTTTAGAAGAGAGATATTAACGATCAAACATTCGATACATTTTTTTGGGACACCCTGTAGAAGAAAGTTTTTTGGTCTTAGCTCCCTCGTACTTATCAGTGATCAGATGATTGCAGGAACTTGAAGTATGTCATTTCCACCTGTGTTCAACCTCTTAAGATTTTTTTTACACTTTACATCGGTTCCTTTTGCAAAACAGCATTTATTATTGATTGCGTCGTTTGGATATCACTACAGGATACGCTGAAATTTCCTCAGCGAGCTTTCCAGAATAATTTTTTGTTGCTGCATAATTTTGATAGTACTTGAATTGAGAATATTTTCTTCAGAGAAAAATTGACAGTTGATCTCTGTGGTGATTCACGAATTGTCTCAAGCAATGTATTCTAAGTTCGGAACAGCGCACAAAAACTTTTACTTCTCATATGTTGCATTTTTATTCTCCAATTAAGGAGAATGTTCTTGAAATCACCATTATTAGTCGCTCTGAATTTTATAACCGGCGTTCAGTACAATTTGCGGGGGTGGAGGGACGAACAAGGAAATTTTTCTAAGGAGGAACTTGTAAAACATCGCGTTCAACATTTGGAGTGGAAATTTTTACCAGGTCAGTTTACTGGGAAAGGATTGACGCAAACTTCCGCGGAGCACTCTTATGGAGTTAAAGCAAAGTTCAAAGACTTTTGCTTACTGAAGTCTCCAATAAGAGCCAGCTGATCGGCTCCTGGAGCCCATTCCTGACAGTGTACTGAATTGTCCGGTTGCACGACCAAGCCAAACTCTTTATATCCCTGAGTGAATCGTTCCATTCCTCCGCACTGAAATATCCGTATAATCTCGGCCAAAAAAGAATATTGGAGTCACTTACCTCTTCTATACGTTTTTGAAAATCGAGAAACACAGTATAACGCCGGCAAATTTCATGCTGGAAATCGTACAGCCAGCTATCCAACTTGAGAAGATTCGCAAGATGCGGAGGGCTAGTCATGGTTGAATTACTGGAAGAAAAGTGATAGGTCTTCCAACAACAACGAGGATTTTCATAAGCAATTTTATAGGTGCTTTCTGTGGTCGAGCACCATCAAGATCAGAGCTGAAAAGAATTTCAAAGTGAGATAATGATTCGAAGTAATATAGAGTTCCTTAGCGCTTTTGAGCCAAATTCATTGAAAAGAGAGAAAACTACCCTTGAAGAAGATGCAGATGTCATGAACAACAAAAATATATAGGGTATATCTCAAAAGTATTTATTCATTGTTTGATCGTTGTTATCTCTTCTCTCAGATAACCTTTGGCCTAATTTCAAGTACCATTTTGTAAAGCTGGCTTCAACTTAGATTCACTGTATAGAACACATCGCCGATCCTCCTTGTTGTAGGATTACGGTAGGAACTCAACACACAGCACCACTTTGAATAAGGTCGTCAAAAAAAATTCGAAAAAGCATGCTAATTTCAATGCATAACCTTTTGCGAAGTTATCAAGCTTTCTTAATGTGCAATCACGTTTTTAAAGACAACGAAAGAACGTTTTATACGGTTAACCTGGCTTAATTCATGAACGAAATTACGGGTGAAGTACAAATTTCGTATTTGGATTCAGCAGCTCTAATTAACCTAGTGGGTCTTTCTGATAGGAAATGTGGGCCTTGATAGGTCAAAACCCTCTCAAAAGTTTCTAAGTAATCCTTCAGTAATAAAGAAAGGTCGCTCATTCGCTCCAAACTGTGTATCAAATCGTGTTTAAAAGCTGAGTGAAAGCTTAAATTGATTCCATCTCCAAAAAATAGTGCCTGAAAGGTAAGTAGAAACTTCTTGGAAAGAGATATTAACTATCAACAGTATATGCATACTTTTGGGACACTCTGTATGATAAATAATTAGAATAATTCTCTGTAGGTTGCTAACCCTTTATACCTTTTCTATCTCTATTCATACCTGAATTGAAAACACAACAAGCTGTTTAACATGAAAATCAGAGATGATTGTCCATTGTTTACAAAAATATGCCGGAAAAAAATTACATGGATTATCTACCTTTAGTCGATTAATCGAAGCGGCATCCCTAAGGTATGCACAAAATATGACAAAAGGAAAGAAAAATTATTTGTAATGTGAGAGTACTTGATGGGTTCATCAGTACTTATTAAATCATTCCTGACATGCACTAATTCTCAAAATATTCTCAAAAGGTATGCGAAGCAATTCGCCTGAAATCGTACATATTCTACTGCATATGGGGGTCTAGGATTCTTCACCTTGTCCTGAATTCTATTATTCAATTCTCTACGATTGTGACTGGTCAGTTTTTTCGAGTTCACAGCTTTTTTGTTTTTTTTATTCATGGCATACCAGTGAGTGTATTGCAAATAATAAAATAAATAAAACATAATATGAACAGTGACCTGTGTTGTAACTTATTTTGGACATAGAGTTCACTTGCTGAAAATTATATTCCTGAGAACATTTTAAAAGAGATTCCTCAGTAGGCAAAGTAGGTCATAATTGAAACAAAAATTAAATTCCAGTTTTATTGGAATTTTGAGGTTTCACGAATTGCAAAAACCTATGATTCTAGTGTTCCTCGTTATCATCCACATTATGCGCCATTTGTTAATGTTACAGGAAGATGATTTCCTTCAAGAATATCATTGACTTAGGCAAATGTTGGAAATGGAGAATATTGATTTTCCGAAAACAATTTGTGAAATCCCATATGGGACAAATAAGAATTCTCGATTTCTCATCTCGGCAAAAGAAGGATTCAACAAAAGGTTGCAATCAATTTGACTCGGCGCTCGTAGGATAGGTGAACCACATGTCATAATTGCATGAGAAGCTGTTGATGTAGCAAAATATGGAAAAAATAGAAACAACGATAATTTCGGATTCCTGACGAATAAATTGTTATTGGAATAGGAGGTGCCATAGCAGAACTACTGCAATGATGGTAGCTTCAGATAAGCAAACAGTAGGTCAAGGATAACACTAGCTCAGATTATAGATTGAGCAAAAGATGATCAGATTCTTCATTATTTCCTGGCATGCCATCGCACAGTTACGGCAAAACATGATATGTAAAAAATGCTTCATGGATCCGATGAGGGTGACAATAATGATCGATTGATTCAAAAAAATTCTCATACTAATAATTCATCAAATCAAGCTAGCGCTTGATTTCAGTGTTCAACAAAAAAATGCACAATGGCTTCACTGTACTGGGATTGCTGAAATAATTATGAGTTTCTCTTATTGAGATGTACAGACAAAACGATTATTTCAAAGTATACTTGCTCATAAATATCGATTGGTTTCTTTTGTTCAGGGCAAAGAAGTGCAAGTTTTACAACGACAGAAAAACCGTTAATGAACACTGCAGCAGACCTATCAAATAATTGATTATTTTTGAATGGTAGAGTTTTTTTTTCTGTGAATTTGTTCCAAAGAGAGCCCGGAGATTGTATCTTCTAAGGGAAAGAACAAAGCGGAGCTAGGATAATTTTTTGTGATAAAGTTGTTTTTCAAAATACTCAATGACGTGGTAGCTTTCACTTACATCTATTCTATCTTTTTCTATAATTAGATTGCTGAGTAAATCAAATGCCAGAAATTCCTCACGGAAAGGGCATAATTTCCAGACTTCTGTGCAGCGAAGTGAACGCCGCAAATTCGTTTTTTTTGTGCTCGACTGCTATTTTTAAAACATCAACAAAATTCTATAAGGCTAATTTATCTGTTCGCACATTTAGAGCAAAGATCGGGTGTTTTTTCCGTGCAGAGCTTGCAGACCGATGACCGATGTGTAAAGAAAAAGATGGCGAAAATCGATGATAGGCTGGCTGGCTGCGGCTGCTCGATGGCAGCCCCGTGCTATGGCAGCAGCGGGTTCTCTCCAACTAGTCCCCGGGTGATCACTGAGACTTTGCTGATCGCGTAAAATTAAGAGATCAGCGCTGTGATGGAAGCAAGAATTCTTGTTGATGTTTGCGTTGCTGCTCGTGTAGCGCAAACATCAAGTAGAATTTTACGACTAAAGTGTACAGTGGAGTAGATTCTAATCAAAAGCATGCAATTGCACACATTCCAAAATTCTCCAGAAAAGAAGTGCCATAATGATACAAACTGATGTCTATCTGCCTTCTACTTTTTTCAAGAACTACAACAAAAATCGGGAGAAACCAGCAAAAGCCGAAATTAGGGCCTATGGCAATTCCAACCGTCGAAAAAGTGCAATTCATACCTTAAAAAGTTTGAAAAAATGTAGCCGCTGGTTTTTAAAAATCGTCACGAGTTATAAAATTTAAATTGCATAATTGACTTACGTTCACGTAAATAATAAAAATAGTTCTAGATACTGATAGATGGATTAATAGTTAGAAAATATTTTTTTTTGATTTAGCGTAGGAAAGAATTTTTCGAAAGCGTGGCAATAGCCATTCCCCCCTTCTGAAATTCTAGTATGGGCTCTCAAAACTTCCGAAAACATCAAAAAAAATCCTGCTGCCCTCTTCCCCACCGAAACTTCTCGCATCGCCACCGTGGTAGTTCAAAAAATACAAATTTCTCACGATTTGAAGATTTCTCGCCGGTGTTGCAAAAAAAATTATACGAAACTGCATGAACTTGAGTTGCCTTATTTTGTTTGCGTTTTTTGTACACAAAATGGACTCGAAGTAAACTTGTAAACCAATTATCGAATTGAAATACCAACCATTCTCGAAAATTCACTCTAAATTCATTCATCACAGGAATTTGCGAATTTTCCAGATAATTAGAATTGTGGTACACGTGCTTTTGAGAAGACCTGGAATCTCAGACTTTGTTTACATTTGCACAACCAGTCAAGTGTTTTTTGATAGGTTTTTGATAGGATTTTTTAAAGCAAATATTGATGCGGAGCATATTGAGCCATTGAGCTAAAACATGGTAACAATGATTTCCATTTCAAAAATAACTGTCGCAATCAAAAGTGAATCCTCATGACGAAAATAAAAAAATGTAAAAATTCGCCTTACCTGTTTCCCATCTTTGCAGCGTAGCAGTGGTGGCGACCAGTTGTTAGATGAGAATAGCGTTGTACTAAACACGAATCTATAAGAACAACACTCCCACAGGACTATCTATCTTTCGACAATGTGCTCATTGTTCCGCTGTGTTGTTCAATCAACAATCAGTGGAGCGGAAAGGTGATAAGGAAGGTCATTCCTTATCACTTGGAAACAACAAGAAGTCCCTAGACTTTTTCAAAAAGACTGTGAACAATGTGAGAGATGCCTTTTGCAAAAAAATAGCCTGCAAGATAAATCTGTTGAAAAAAAAGGAAGAATTTGATGCCACATCTGCACTTGACAGTTATAAAGGATGTGAAATGATGTGAAAGAAGTAATAGATGAAAGTTGGTTGAAAAAAAAAGCTCAAAGACTACGGGGGTAGTCGTCCAAAGAAAGACCTTTAAATAATCGTCATACATCTTTTGAACCTGTGATCTGTCGAATATTTGTAAGTTTCTTTTGCAAAGTGAAGGAAGACAGCGCAAGATAGAATCGTGACTTTTTCTCAGTGAGAAAGGGTGGCGCTAAGCCGCAAATAAATTACATTATCTAGTGTAATGCTACACTACTGATTGATAGAACTGAGAAGAAAGTAGCTCAGAAGAAAGTAGCTCACTATCAGCCACTACCTTGATTTCCATATCCACATAACACCCTTTAAAATTAAAAAATCGCATATCTCACAAAAAACAGGTTTTTTGCTTTATAAGGAAGTTTTGCGGCGTCTTAAACGCATCAGAACTGACTTTCTTGTAGTAGAAACAAGAAGCCCATCACAAAACCAAATTAGTTTCAGTAATAATGAATTTTGTAAATTATCAAGAAGTTATGGTGAATGATACTCCCTTGATTTGAATTTTCCTGCTATGGATCTCGTTACATCCGATAGCGCAGATTTTTGAAAATTTTCGAGAAAACCATGTAAGGATTCCCGAAGCAATACGAAAATCTAATCAGAACAGAATATGGAGGTACTAAGAGGTAGATAAATGGCTTAAAAGCAATCAACTGCACAACTCAAAGACTATAGTTGACTACAGATCTTGTATTGCAGATTTATGCTGAATGGTATCAAGGATATACTAAGCGACCCACAATCTCAAGACTAGGGTACCAATGACCTCTGTGGACATCAAACACAGCGACGTAAGATAAACTGTATTCTCTGAGCTAAGGTCAGATTAAGGTCGATGTTTATGACATAAGGGCAGTCAGAAGTCAAAACAACAGTGCAAAGTCTTCGCAAAACTAGTTGTGCTTACAATTTAGCTGTATAATTTGCAAGGATGAGAGTTTTTTATTTTAAAGCAAACAAGAATTTTTATAAGTGATGGGAGTAGTATAGGGAGCACCGATTACGCTGGTTGATGTTGTCCGAGTGGTCTTCCATCGGGGCGGCCTATCTCACGAGACATGCGGCAATTGTTTACCAATCAAAGCGTAAATAACGGGTCAGAGTTCATGGTTGTTTATGCTGTGGTTGCTAAATTTGTCCTATCTTGCAGAAGCTTCTGTTCAGCCTATGTAGAAAATGTGATTATGTAGCTCGATATAAAATGTTTCTTTTTCGTTTTAAGGTCTACAAGACAAGGGATTTTTTGCATTTTTTGCATGATTGCTGAAGCCACAAAAGGAGCAAACGAAGGGAATATAGATATATACAAGCTTTGAAAAAATGATGTGAAAATGAAAAAAGGAGAGTATGAGATTTTCTGCAAAAGAATTCAGCTGTGAGAATAGAGTCTCTCAAAGAAGAATTTGAAATTGCGACACTATTTGCAGTGTCTTTAATGGTCGATTTTGCTTCAAAATGCGTAGGTCCACTTTCCTTTCCATATGTAGGAAATTCTCACTTGCGTATACTAAAAAACCTCAAATTTATGTAGTAGTCACAAACCTATACTTGCTTCAAATACTACAGAACCGAACAAAAAACATCAGCAAAGTCAAGAAGAACCTCTTGAATATTTACCTTCCAAAAGTATTAGTGTATTATCGTATATGATTGTGTTTTGTAAGATACAAAATTCTCAGTTAACTAATATTAAATAGAAACACGGGACAGGGTATTGGATCTACGCAGGTTTTTGAATGAAGATCTGGAAAAGACTTTTGCATTCCTACTTACGGTCGTTTTATTCTGGAAGATGGGATGTTGAATGTTCTGGAAAATGCAATGTTGAAGGGTAAAGACTGCTTTATAAAGAAAAGAAAATAACTATGTTGCTTACACTCACCCAAAACTCACCCTCTCAGTCTTACTAAAATGATTAACAATTTCTAAATTTTGTACTTTTTGACTCCAACTCATTTTCATTGATATATGAAATTAAAATAATTCAGTTCGTGTTCCCTCCTTTGGCTATTACTGCCACAGGGACGCCATGAACTTATTCACATGCCCTACCTACCAACTCACTGCCTGCGGGCTCAAAGGTGTCAGGAACCGCCAGTGGCAGAGCAAGGTGGTCAAAATACAGGTGTTTGCTTGAGAAAGTGCTTCAAGAATAACTTAGTGACTATAAATGGTTTATGAATGGTGCAGATCGAGACAACTCCAGAATGTTGACTCCACGTTCAGCAAATTCGTACAACAACGATGGTCACTGTTATTCTGCATCTCCTGGAGAGTTTGAGGTAAGGGCATAATTTTGGTGAATTATCATTATCAATCAATGGTGGAGAAGAAAGTATTTGTTCTACGCACAAATCCTCTTCCATTATAAAGCTAAAAAAGGGAAGAATGAATTTCCTGCGTCGATGCCGGATGTATTTTTCTTGATATAATCATAGCATGTGGAGCTTCCAATGGCTTCTGCTGTTTCATCCATTTCCGGTAAAAGAGTTTAAAATATTTACTTGAACGCATTTCGTCCTGAGGTCACGGCCCTGCAGCTGATATCCGTTATTTATGACCTCTTGACCTATGGGATTTCTCCTTATCTGTACGAGCATCAGTATCCTGATCATTTCGTTTCGCCGTAATAACTAATTCAATGAGAGTGTTAGCAACTTTTTTTCAAATTTTTACAAGTTTTACATTTGAAATTTTAGAAAGCTGACTTCTAGTGGATCAAATTGCTACTCCCATGAGAATACCCCAGGAAAACTTTCTTCCAAATATGTTTACGGGTCACGTCAAAGGATTTCGGATGTTAACGAGGATGTCGTCGTTGTTTCGGTCTGACTTCGCCAAAAACACTAAAATGACATTTGCGAAGTAAAATAAAAAATAGTACGCTAATAAAAATAATAATAAATAGTACGCTTCTGCTGCTGAATCATGAAGTGCTGGGACTTTAAATAACCAATTTCTGCATCTACATCATTTTTTTCGAATTTCAATTAACTTACTCAGATCAATAATTTTTGATCGCATAATTAACTACCTTGACCAAATCTTTCTAGGATTATCATTTGTTGCCTGACTGTGCAGATGTTCGACACATGACCGATATGGTCCCTAAATCTGTGGATACTACTAAAGAAGGTAGGTCAACAGTTCCTTCTTCAACGTGAGCCCACCCTTTGATCATGAAAGCTTTCATTATCGGAAGCGTCTGAACTTAAGTATCTGTTTCAGCATCTCATCCTGAAACTAAGACTGTTCCATATGTCCTTTCTAGTCAAGAGAAAGTGGATTTTCTGAAAAGTAGGTCAAATGCATTTACAAATGAGTTTCAGTTAAAGTTCAAAAAGTTTTTAGAATGTTGTGCTTCGCCGGTGCTACGTTTTATTCTACATCTTCTCGCTAATCCACGGCAAGAAGGCTTAGTGTCCTGGCATGGTGGACCTTATGGAGTGAAAATCTGGAACACTAGGAAATTCACTGAACTTTACAATGCTGCCATGGGAGCCAGAGTAAGACTTCTTCCACATTCTTAAGGTAAAAACAAGGTCTGCTGTTTCAGATGAATTTCACAAATATCTCTCGCGCACTCCAAGCTTGCGAGCAGATCACGATAGCAGGGATCCGTTTGTGGAAGCGGAGAAAACAAGGCGAATATTCATTCTTTCCCTGTTATACTGGACATGGGTAAGAATCAGATGACCTTCCTTTAACTCATAGCAGGTAATTCATGTTTTGTTTCAGATTACCAAACATTCCTGCCACAGCAATGCCAAAGGATGTTCCAGTCTCATTTCCATTCGAAAGACATTTGCCTTTGAAAGGTCACCCGCGGGGCTTTGACTACGGTATGTTGATTGACTCCGTCATGGCATTAGTGTTCCACTATACAGTTTGTCCCAGAATGTTCTACCATTTAATCTTGCATATCTCCTTTGTGTCTTTCGCCGAACTTTAGGAAACCATTCTGCAGAGAATGCTTCAACTTACAATTTGGTTTGAGTTATAAAGGAAATACTGGCCATTCTTGCCACTGTAGGGTTACGGTAGGAAGTTTGTGAAGTGTTTTGCAGCATTGAATTAAGATTTTACCTCAAAAAACCCATAGAAGAGCTGGACAATTTGTCACTAAATAAGCTCAACCGATGTCTCAGAAAATAAGAATTGTGTATTATCACTGATCTTTGTTCGAGATTTAAAAACGTACAGAGAAAATATTTCAGAATTTCTTCTAAAATCTGATCACACTTTTTAATCTGTTTTACGAACCTATAAAATATTTAATGGAGTCAGCATGAGTATTTGATGCAGCTAACTTGTAAGAAATCAGTTCTGCTTCAAATTGCTACCGTATCCATAGAGAAAACGGTTGGTACCATACTGTAAATCTATATTAAAACCAGCCTTACAGAATGGTACTTGAAGCTCTGCAACATTGAAAGAAAGGAGGTAATTTGAATCAAGCAGTAGAAAGAATTTCTTTAGACAATTTTAGACACCCTATTACATGATTTGTTTAGGAGAATGCTGCTCACCAGATCCCCCATATCTACTCCCAGCAGCCTTCTACAAGGATTCTCCTCCCTATTGCCTTCTAACTTCTACACCTAACCGATTTGTAAACTATCAGGTCATGGCCCCTTACGGATCCGGAATGCTCAGTCCTGCTCCATCATTAGCATCATTTGCTCCAACAAGTCCCGCTTATTCACTAACTCCATCGACTATAATTTCGAATGGAATATTGACACCTCCGCTTTCGGACACATCTGGATACTCGTCGGATTCCTACAGCTTCAATAACTCACTGAGATCACAACCATTTGACCCAATGGACATCCCGGTGTCACAAACCTACCTGCACTGCGAAAGTCCATCACCCGATGAATGCTTTCTACCTCTTGAGAAGGATGTAGAAACAGACAAAAGTGCGGAAAATACGGAGCAAGTACGTAATAAAATCTTCTTCGCATTTGAAATCAGACTTAACCTCTCCCTTTCGCTAGAACTGATTTATTTCCAATTGCAGGCTGGCCTAAGAACCATGCATGAGCCTCTTTTACCCAATGAACTACCCAAAGTTGAGGCTCCGGTGCTTTCTTTGACGAAGAAAAACCCAGAAATAACGGAACCAACTGATCCAGTTATAGAAGGACAGGTAAGTTTATATCATTCCGTTGTATAGCTGACCTAGAATGAAATTTCAGGACATATTTGGTAACTCACAACAGAACCCTGGCTACGACTTAACCATAGATGAAACTAGCCTATTATATCAGTGCAATGAATAATGTCACTCGGCATTTTGCAGCTTTTTTGATTTTGTTTCCTTTTTCACATATCACTCATCATATGTACATAATAATTGGTGATTTTGTCCCGTGCTCATTTTTTCGGTGAATATCTTATTTTGTTATATAAATTATTATACTTACTCAAGGATGAATAAACATGTGATAAAACGGTATAACATGTTGTATTTTGTGTACGAAACCCGCTTTTTGAATTTTTGGATCTATGATATCTATTTTGTCATGTTCAAGAAAATTCTGCATGCGTTCTAGGATATGAGAAATAGTAGGACGAAGGCACAAAATCAAAACTTATTTCATGATTACAGATTATACCAAATATGAACTGTTTGGCTGAGCTCGAACAAAATTTAGTACATATAATGCCATTGAAGCGCAATATGCAGAAGCGGTTGGCATTTTTGCCTTGCGAATTACTTTGTTCCAACCATGGAGTTGAAAGTTTGAACGCATTGAAAACCAGCGAACTTCTCAAAGAATTTTCTTAGGAAACTCCTTGAATTTTATGTAGTCCTCGAAAATTCATAGGAGTATGAAAAATAAGAAAATTAAAAGTCTTATCAGAATAAAAACAAGTTTTATGTTGGCTAATTTGTGATCGTTTTTGCCAATTATAAAAATTTTACTGGAAAGTTTCTTAAATTTATGGCATCAGTGGCAAGAGTAATTCAAGGAATCAGTTTGTTATTTGATGAAGAAATGGTGCAGGAAAGAGTGAAACTCAGATTTTCAATCAAAAAAAAAATCATGCGACAAAAAATGAACTGAAATTGGATGTAAAGGATATGAATGGTACGCAAACATACGATTTTTACCGCAAGCATTTACGCGACCATAGATGGTTAAACACGGATGGTGCGGACTGTCCAAAATTAACTTCCTTGCTCTAATGTGAGGATATTCTCACGACTACAGAAATCCGCAAAATGCCGATCGTAGATCTTATTGTGGTCCATATAACCTAAGCACTGAGCTATAAGCCGAGCTTTACTCGCTAATTTTGTAAACTATGCGAAACACTTTCAAAAATTTCGCCCTCTTTCCCGAATGAGAGGGGGCGGGGCGCGTCCATCATGGTTGTAGCCCTCTTACTTCTATTGAACTCATAACACAATAGAGTCTAGTGTCAGTTTTTTCCACAACCGTAGTCCGAATACAGAATAAGTGATACGCGTTAGAAACATGTACAATAGGTAATTGACGTGGGAGTTGAATAGTTGGGTTAGGAACAAATTACTTTGCTGTTGTTGATTCCGAAGATTGGTGAGCTACCAGCTACCTAATCGTAAGAAGTGCGATTGTAAACGACTTCAATTTATTCTTACAGAAATTGATGCAAGAACTTAGAAAGAACGAAATGTATCGCCCACTGTATCCGCCACTTCGTCTACAACATGTCGATTCATATGCAGCTAGAAGAGGCCAGATTTACGTTATATTTGTGTTGTTTGTCACTATATTGGCCACGGCTTTACTGATCAGACAATTTGGTACACTTCCGGTATCCTCAAATAAAAGGTTGGATATACTCGTCATAAACCTAGTATACACAAGTGTCCACACTTAGGACTATAACAGCTCGAAAAAATATGCAGAAATGTGAGCAATATTATGGTAAAGTGTCGATTTTTGTGGCTGAGTCTGCAGCCTTGAAGTAAGTTTGGAACTTTCAGCGCTCGCTCATTCGATATACTGTTACAGCACTAATAACCTCACACGTGATTCTCTGGATTGTTATGTGAAAGGCGCAAATTATAGTTTGATACGAGTCAACATAGACAATGATCCAAGGGTAAACGAAGTGTGTAGTAAACACAAGACGGTGAGTTAGAGCTTCTTCGACTATGACTCGCTTTTACCTGCGATATGGACCACAACTTTGGATAAAAGAAGCTGAGAAAAAGCCATTTTATTCAGGCTTTATTCAAGAGGCACTGTGCAGCATCTGTTTACCTACAAGACACTGACTGGATGCTATTTGTCGATACACAAGCAGGTATGGTCTTCCTGAATTCACTCAAGCCTCTACAAAACAAACAAACGAGTTTTGCATAGTTAGCACCTTGAATATAGCAACAGTCCTCAACAAATTTCAAATATCAAAACATTCAAAGAATGCTTTTCCTTCTGTTATACAAAGTAAAGCAAAAAGCTAACGCGGAAGTAAGCGAGAGAGCGAAGGGAGTATAGAGGACTATGTTTTGCCGAGAGGGGCGCCTCATACGGACATCTGCAACAATTGCGAACCTCTCGCATATATAGAAGGTCTGCATTTGTGCGGATGTCTGCACAGGACCTCTTTCAGAGATGTATGGTGCTCTATACGGAGTGCATGTGGTTGCATTCAAGTTATAATTGGAAGTTCACTCTTGGTACCTTACAAGGTCAGGATACTTTGCGGCCGTGGCCTTTTGTAGTGAGATGTATACCTGTAGATGCGCCTTGAAACGCTGATTTCAGACCTATGTTCATTATCTGCTGCGTGATTCTCTAAACGATGTTATGTTTTTTTTTTCATATTGATTTTACGAGATCTAGGCAGACAGAATCGTTAGTGTCCAGGCTTTGCAGACTCTGATATATCATAGACAGGTTGTCTGAGCTCAACGTAAAGCTTTATTTTATTTGGACGCTCTTTTGTAGTGCGGTGAACAAGTACAAAGGTTTTTGGAAAAGATCAACCTTAACAATGTCTTAGTGAAGCACGTCATCACAGCCCTTTCAGAAAGCACTGCTCATCAAAAGGAGAGTTCATGAACGCACAATTCAGGGGTGGTCAATCCGGAACATTGCATCGAAGAATGGATTGATGACAGAGTAGACATGATCTTCTTTGAGCGATTTTTCAATTGGGAAATTGCAGCGGGATCATATCTGGTGGGTTCCCCAGCATAGCTTCATCAAAGTGAAAACATTAACCCTACGTGAGATGCTACTTAGCATTTCAGCGAAAAAAAACATACACAGTTCACAAACTGCAAAGTGCTGTGCACTGTACAATCTGTGTCAATTTCGTACTCTCTTTCGCGCAGAAACTACTCAGACACAGGGAGCGGCCGAGCCGCGGACCTTTTCCGGCTGGAATTTCGCAGCGCCGGAGATGGGCCGCGGCTCGGCCGGAAAACAGCCTTGGCTCGTCCGCTTTTGGGCCGCGGCTCAGCCGGAGCTGGTTGTCTAGTTCATTCTAGTTTGTATACAGTAGAACTGTTTTTTTATTTACTGGCATATAGAATACCAGTGCTTCACCTCTGCTTCGCAGAGGCTCGCACTGGCTCTTCTATCTTATGCCACACTCATTCCTGCATAACATGGCATTGAAATCTACCGCGCAATGCCCGCCTTCGCGAATGATTCGTAAACAACTACTCATTCCTTAAGCTTTTTCACGTGAGATCGGTATTTTGCGTGGATGAAACTTTGAAAGATGAAGAAAGCAGGAATATTATACCTTTAAGTTTTTTCGTGACCTGGTAGTCGCCATAAGGATAATATTTACGGCGAGCTACACCCCTGTGCAAAAATCTTCTCAAATGCTCAGGTAAAAACTTGGCAAATTGACCATTTACGCAAATAATTCGTTTTGGCGCCTTTTTCGTGGAGTAATAGACTTTTATCACTTTTCTGGGGCTAACGATCATGGCTTGCTCATCCACTTGCCGAACATAATCACAACTTTGCAATAAGTGGTGATAAAGGACCCGGTATTGCGCGCCAGACGTTAAGTGGCTCTGTTTGGGGTGCGTTTTTTGAGGGACCTACTCAGTGGATCTGCTCGTGTTTTGGCATGGTGAATCTAGATCGCGGCAGTGCGTGTTGTGCAAAAAAATGCGGCTTGAAACATTGTCTGCGACTCGTTCTGTGAATTTCGTTACAGACAGACAGACAAACACACACACACAAAAACACGTAAACACCACCCTTACTGCGTCAACTCCGCTTCGCGGAGGCTCGCACTGGCTCTGCTATCCGCATGCCTTTCTCGTGCTCGCATGATGATGACTTTGAAACTCACCGCGATGCTGAACATCACAAATGAATTGCAAACAGCTGTTCATTTTCGAAGCATCTCCATGTAAGGTCGGTAATTTTGAGAGAAAAAACCTTGTTGCAAGGAAACAAATGCGAATTTGAACGTATTACTGAATTTATTTTAGTTTGATAACCGTCATAAGGATAATAGTCACCTTGGTCTACATTTCAGTGCAAAAATCTTTTCAGTTTTTTCAAATAAAACCTTGCCAAATCGACTATCTACGCGTTCATCACTTTTGGCGCTGTTTTCGCAAAAAAAAAGCAAACTTTTTGAGCACTTTTTGGGCTAGAATTTATGGCGCGCAGAATCACTTGTCAGGCAAATCATAACTTTGCAAAAAGTCGAATTAGCGACCCAGTTTTGGGTGCCGAAAGGCGCGTGGACCCGTTTGACGCGCAAATTTTGAGAGGGCCCGCTTATCAAACCGGGTCGTCCTTGTGCATGTGGGCCTACACGCTGGCACGGTATGTTATGCAAAATCGCAACCCGATAGCTTAGTTGCAGCTTCCTCTATGAATTTCGTGACAGACAGATTTTCACACAGACACACACACACACACACACACACAAAAACAAACGGCCTTAGCGCCTTATTATAGTAGGATACACAGTAAAAAACAAAAGTTGAGGCCACCGACATAGCGGCTTCAAAAACCAAGTCCGATTTCGACATTGGACAACACAAGATGCTATCCAAGGTTGTACAACATGTTGATCTTGTTCCCGCCTTGGAGAGTGGAAAGACATCGAAGGCTATGGACGCTGAGGGCAGCCTGACCATGCGTCGTACATCACGCAAGTATTCTTTATGCTCAGAAACCGGGAGCGGCCTAGCCGCGGACCTTATCTGACCAAAATCTCTATAATGAAACTCCGGCCGCGGCTCGGCCGGAGTTTCATTATAGAGATTTTGTTCCGCGGCTCAGCCGCTGCAATGCTCCACCCCCATCATTAAGGCCGCGGCTGAGCCGGTAAGCCATATTCAGTCCGCGGCTCGGCCGGTGCAATGATATTGACATGAATTAAGGTCCGCGGCTCGGCCGCATTCCGGTCACGCCCACAAATTAAGGCCGCGAACGGGCCGGAAAGGCCTTTTGAGGCCGCGGCTCGCCCGGTCCCAGTGTCTGAGTACGCATGCGCAACGCGAGTGCATTGCGTGCGGATCTCCAGTTGAAGCCAATTTGAACGCGGAAGCCACACGCGCGCGAAGTGGTGGTTCCGGCCTGTCGATAGCGCTCAGGGAGAAAGAAGCACGTGGTTGAGGCAGAATCTATTGCCCCGCGCACGCCCAATTCAGAAATTAGGGTGAAAGCCTAAGTATCTCATTTGTTTCATGTTCTTTGGTTTTACGCTTTTTCGTTTCAAGTGGCGAATACGTTATTACCCAAAGGTAGTATCCGGGTAAAATGTCGTTTGAAGACTTTTTCGCTTACCTGGACTAATCCTTCCCGCTAATCCGAGTGCAGCCTGGAGAGCGGAAAAATGTCAAAAAATGGCTTTTTACGAGCCCCTATATTTGAATTCGTACGGACGCGGAGTCGTCAAGATTAAGATGCAGAGTCGTTGTCGGAGTCGGTCATAACTGTGTGCGGTTATGCAATTTTTTTATCTTCCATGTGTCCCGCTTATGCAGGGTCTACTTTTCTTGTCAGACGTCTCCATGTCGTCCTATCTGAGGCAAGGTCTTCGTCTATAAAAAGTTCTCGCAGCTCGGCCTTGATTCTGTCCATCCACCTCATCCTGGATCTACCTCTGGGCCTTTTGCCTGGTGCCTCCACAGCCAGGGCCAACTCTGTGATGTGACTTTCATCCCTTGTGTGCACATGCCCATGCCATCGTAACCTCTTTTCCGCATTTTCTGGCAATTGGAACTACTTTCATTCGCGCTCGTATAGTGCACTGCAGATGTGATCCTTCAGTGTACTCCTAAGGTCCATGCATCCTTGTTTCCATGACACTGAGCTTGCGCTCCTCGACGCGCGTGCACGGCCAGCATTCACTGTCATACAGTGCTGCTGAGCGGATGACGGTCCGGTACAGTTGTGACTTAGGTTTCACTGGCATTCTTCTGTCGCATAGAAATCCTGTTAAGGCTCTCCATTTCATCCATGCTGCGTTCATCCTGCTTGCTACCACCTCTTGTATGCCTCCCTCCGCTGAGATGTGAGTGCCTAAGTACTTGTATGACGTTGTCTTCTTTAGCTCTTCACCATCGATGCTTATGGTACCAGGGCCCGTTAAATCCCCGAAATATGTCGTAATGTAAAGAAGCCGAAGACACGACGTGCCCGACTGACGGTTGTGCTGCTCACGACCACGTTTTGGTCGCCGCATTTCGTGCTCACGCGCGATCAAACCCTTTTATGATTGTTGTGGCGCGCACTGACACTGCGCTATTAACACGTCTTCAAAATCGAAAATTCATAGCTGAAGATAGCGAGGCAAAGATGCGACAGACAGAGCAGTCGCTTACGATGGCTAAAGAGCAAATCGGCAAGTTTGTTTGGCCTGTGTAACCTTTATGAAATTGTAAAGGTATGCACTGCCTCCGCAATTTTCACTGTCAAGACGATAAGCTCTTTTACAACAGCTGCCGATAGCGCAGTGGAGGTGCCGACGCTACCGAGTTAAAGGTGGCGGGTACGAGTACTTTGGGCGCATAAATTTTGCAAGTTCCTGACTAGCTAAAATTTCTATAAATGGACAGAAATCGATAAATTTTCGAGTAGGGAGGGGGGAAAATCGTAATGCAAAGCATGAAACATTGACAATACACAAAACAAATTGGAATGTTGTAAAACAATCACTGCTTTGGTTAACGCAAACATGAGCTATTTTATTAGCCATTACGCCAGACGGTTCTCTCCCTTAAATTAAAAGAGAAACGCTGAGCGCACAGCTAATGAACAGCAGTTCAGAAGATATAGTTCTTGAGCTGCTAAGATGGAAGAAATAAGGGGATTAAAAACATGCAAAAGTGGTTTGGTGCGCAAATGAGTTGCAATGTAAGAATAAAAAGAAAAAATGCTCCACGATAAGATACGAATGCGTAAAATTCTGAAATACTTTGTAATCAAAATAAACTCACATTTTCTCAGTTACAAGGAATATTGCAGCAGAAGTGTTTAGAAAACAGATTAAGTCGCTCAGCACGTTGACATTTGGGCGCTTATCAGCTGTTCATATCTATTGCATTTGGCGTGCGCTGAAATAGTACTGTATGTCTACGGTCCTTGCGCACAGGACGAACACGGCGTACTCGACTCCTAGTCGGTTGCGCCTTCCTGCGTCTCCACGCTGTGCCCAATATTTTTTCTCTGCCTCTTAAGTGACGACGTTTACGACGTCTTCCTGTGCGCGCGAGGACGAGCACATCCTGCAGTCGTGACGTTTAGCAATTTCGCCGCGCGTGATAAGAGATAGGCCGCGACGAATCGCGGCCGAAACGACACGTCTAGATACGTGCGATGTTTCGAATGTCGCGACCATCACGACGGCGGGATTACTAAAGGCCTAGGAATTTGTTTCCCCACTTCCATGTACTCTGTCTTTCTGGTGTTGAGCTTTAGGCCATACAACTCTAACCTGTTCTTCCAGTTTAGTCTACCTCGTCTTGTAGCCCTTTCCTGGTACTTGCTATAAAGACCACATCATCTGCATAGAGAGGTGTGCAAGAAGATTTACGTCTGAGCGGTTCCATCACGGCGTTCATCACAGTGATGAAGAGCAAGGGAGAGAGAACTGAACCTTGGTTTACTCCGACTTTGGAATTTTTTCGATTGCCCTGCAGCTGTTTGCTCGTGGCTTGAAGCGTTGTGGTAGATCAACTTTTTCCACTGAACGTACTCCTCTGGCACCCTGTGCTTTCGTAAGGCCCATCATATGAGTTCATGGGGCACCTTATCGAAGGCTTCCTCCAGGTCCAGGAAGGCTGCATGCAATTCCCTCTGCTTCTCTCTATACTTCTCCATCACTATCCGAGCGGAGTGGATTGCGTCAGTTGTACCTACTCCTTCCACGAATCCGCACTGATATGGTGACAACTCTATGATATCTCGAAGACGTTTCGATTATTCGCTCGAAGATTTTCAGAGTGTGACTCATCAGTTGGATTGGTCGGTAGGTTGCGCAGTCTGCTATTTCTCCCTTGTTCTTCCATATCGGGATCGTTGTGCTGGTGTACCATTCACGAGGCATACTCTTGCTCTTTTGATTTGAATGAGGAGACTCGTTAGCCATGTGGCTCCGGAATGTCCACATATTTTCCAGGACTCGTTTAGTATGTCCTCTGGACCAGTCGCTCTGCCATTGTTTGTTCTTCTTATGGCTAGCCATACTTCCTCTTCTGTGACTGCTGATACTGGTCCTTGTATGGGACTGGCTTCTGAGGTGGAGTTGATGGTGGTGCGGTCTGTGTTGGCCATTTCTTCGAAGTAGGTTCTTCATCTTTCGGTGATGTCCTTCGGTTTTCTTAGCACCCTAACAAGTTTGTCTTTGATATGGAGGAAGTGTTCCATATCTTTTGTGGGTTCCGCTCTTCTTTTCGCCGTCTGGTATATCTCACGTTCTCCCTCACGAGACTCTAGATGATCGTAGAACTCTTTCAAGTACATCTGTTTTGCATTTTTTACGGAAGCCTTTGCAGCGTGTTTGGCTTGTTGGTACGTCTAACGATCGTCCTCCGATTTCGTCTTATGCCATCGCTTATACGCATTCCTCTTCTCCCTTATGACTTTTTGCACTTCGTCATTTCACCACCACGTTTCTTGATTAATCCTTCTTTTTCCTGGCTTTGTACTTCCCAGGATCATGTGTGCCCTCTCGTGGACTTGACCTTTCAGGCTCTCCTAGGATCGATCTGGGTTATCTTGCAAATGTGATAGAGTTGTTAGCAGTGCTTGTTTCGCCGCATTGTTGCTTTTCAATCTCCACCATTTAATGCGTGTCCTGGTCTCTGTGGCTCGCCTGGTGTGCCTATCCATTGGGATTCTGATGTCGAGAAGCAGTGGTGTATATTGTGGTATGCAGCTCTCACCAAGAATGACTTTGCAGTCTTTTACATTTTTGAGATTACGCTCTCGGATAGCTCAGAAGTCTATCTGTATTCGTTGATCGCCATTCGCATATGTTATGAGGTGAACATCCTTCTTGATGTAGTATGTATTCGCCAAGACCAGATCGCGAGCTGCATGTTCCGACTCGCAGGACCTGTTTTCCAGTATCTACCTTGATGCTCATCAGACGATCGCTTATGCGCTCAACGTCAACTATATTGCTCCTTACATTCTCAGAGTCAGCTATGCCAACCCCGTTTCTGGTGCAGGTGGCACCGTTGTAGAGGAGCTTCTATCCATCTCCGATGTGGCGTGACTTTGTTCCGATCCATTTCGTTTCCTGTATGCAGGTGAGTGTGCCCATATTGATGGTAGCTGACGGAGAGTTTGCGATGCCTGGATCGTTGCCTCTGGTGAACTAGACGCTTTAGCCGTCCCCGTTCACCTTGCTGAGACGGCGACCCTCGCCCACTCTGCATTCATCGGGCTCGAATGCGCGTCGCCTCCGGGGGGGGGGGGGCCCTAGCCTTTAGAGATTCTATATGAGACATGTCTGCTATGGTGATGCGGAGTGGTGTTTCTCAGCCGGCTTGTCGCATGCCTTTCTTTGGAAAGGCAGCCTGACGCTGGATTTGTAAGCAGAATTTTTGCCGCAGAAATTAGGCTCAGTGTGAGCACGGCAATGTTATGTAGAGCACTAACCACTAGACTAACTCTGCTGTGCGGTTATGCAAATTCTGGCTTGCAATTCAAAAGATCGGGATCATATTTGTTCAAAAGGCCTCTACGTCAGAGCTTCTTCAAAGTAGAAGCTCTGACATGGAGCCCTTTTGAGCAGATATATCCACTTTCCATTAGCCACTTGAGCAAGAGCTTTATGTGGGTAGGCCTGATCACAGTCCACCTTTTTCTCGTTATCGTCACATCTGTCCGCACGATGCCTCAAAGATTTTCATAAACTCGGCTTAAATGGCTGTCAGGATTATCAAAGGACGAGTGTAGTCGGAAGCTTCCTGATTCATGATTGCATGCCTGAGTAGGGATTAATAAAGTATCAAATCTTCCATCTTTTTAAAAGACAAAGGCAGAAAACAATCCAAAGAATAGTGAAAATGGCTGTACATAATTACGAAGAACAAAACAATGAAAATTGGTTGGCTGAAGCTGGGCTAAAATTGCCTGTGTTATGCCTTTGATGTGAGCATTATTTCTTTTGAGCACAGCTTCTTGACTTATGCCATTTAGTTGTCAATTTTGGCAGCTGATGTTGTTAAAGCTTTGAGGTCTCTCCCTCATCCCTATGTCCACATTTGAAAGTAATCTGTTGATTTTGAGATTAAATGGGTGTAAGTGACAAAAGTTCATGTATGAGGTCTCTTGTCATAAAGACGTAATCCTCCGCAGAAGAGTGCACACTGCACTTGTCTAGGATGCCTTAATTTTTTATCTGTTTCAGGTAAAAAACACCGCGCTCACTCGCAATTTTCTGCGGCAGGTTGCAAAATGGGAATTCAAGGAAATGCCTATCTGGAATAACCAAGACCAAGGAGCATTCATGGTAGTTGCGTCAAAAATAACGCTGACAATTCCACAATCTTTTATATAGTTGCAATTGCAAAGAACACTGTCTCCGGCAGCCAAATGGGAACTACGAGCATGTCACAAGTATTGGCAAACCGCAACTAGCTATCAAACATATACGGCAATGATAACCTGTGTCCGCTCAGCTCTAGGTGCTCGAAAATTGTGGACGAGAAAAGCTCGCATTTATCGGAAGGCTCATGCATGGATCAGAGATGCTTCTATTTCGCGTAATAGGTTAGTGGAAGGATGTTTAGGTGAATTAAGAAATATGATTGAAAGTCCACAAAATTGAGGTCCCTAAAATTTACATTTTTGTCTGACCCAGTGATTTTGAAAAGATTTTGCCTACATCCTCTAACATTGGTCACTGCAATTTTTTGAAAGATGCCGCTTTCAATTTTCTCTTTTCTCAGCTTATGGCTTCATCGTGAGTTGTAATTCGCTGATATTAATCTTTAACAACCAAAAAGATGAAGTTGGGAATCTTGACTTCCATGATAGCTGAAAGACATTGCATTCTCAAATTTGTGAGTCGACGACTGTGAAATCAATAATAAGTAAGCAGTCACCGTAGAAGCGGGTACCACTTTATTCACAATGAGCTTTACTAACTGTAACCAAATGAGTATGGGAAGCATTGTTGACCAGTTAGTTTTGGAATCTTTGCAACCAAAGCCCAGTGTCTGACAATCAAATGGCCTTTTATGTGCGGGTTGTCTTCAGAAACGTTGCTTTTCTTCCTTCATCTCCCTCCTCCCCCCCCCCTCCCCCCGCCCCAAGTATGGGTCGCGAAATCTCTAAAAGTTACTTATATGAGATAGTTGCAAGTGACTTGTTTATACTGTGAACTTTACTCTTAAATTTTTGCGGAACGTGGCTGGCGTCACGTTCCCCTCTTTTAAAACTTCCGCGTTATGGGCCCACGAAAATCTGGGAAGCATACCAAAATTTTTTTGTGAGTGCGTGACCAACGGCACGACCTTCATCTCACATAGGTCTCCATAGTTTTTGAGTCTTTATTTTTATCCAATATCACGCGTACACACACTAAATTTGGTTTCGTGTTGCTGTTGCCACGTCGTAGATTAGCAGTGTACGCAGTGCCAATCATTCATTTGAATTCCTCGTAATCGTTCATAGTTTGTTCTTATCTCCCGTTTCTGAACAAATAATTTTTTGTTATGGACGTGCGCTAAACGAGTCAATGTTTACCACATAGTACAAGGAAAGTCGGCTTCTGGCCTCAAGTCAAGATCGTAGTATCATTTTAGTCATGGGACCTTCAACCTTGGTGCCTTCAGGCCTTCAAGCTTGTTGCTATTGAATCACGTCAAAGGCACCAATTGCATTGTGGCAGTATCTATGGAAAGTTTGGACATTAATCATGTGCATTAGAATCGTGACTTCCTGCTTTTCTCTGTAAAAAAATCTACTTGACATTGCCTCCTCAAGCTTTTCTTCTTTCTAAACTGTCATTCTTGAGCTTTTGAAATTACATTCAAAGATCTAATGAATGAAAGTTATATCTTTGAATGGTAATTAAGTGCTCATTACCGAACGATGTCTTAATTCGCTATACGATCGGCAATATCAGCTTAAGGCTCAATGCATACTTAACGCAGTTTACACAAGCACCAAAAGCTTGGCTTGGCTTATTTATGTCGTTGTTTGATGATGCTGAGGTGTAAGCAACGCATTTTTCCCGACAATGGCCTAGTAAAGACCTGTTCAGCGCAACTCGGCTGAGGACGGGCCTTCGTTGAACCTAGGACGCCTCAGTCCGGCGTCCGGTGGGCTATTGATCTGGATGCGAATCGCCGCTCCCTGGATGAAAATTTTTGTGCGTTTCCAAAAAGAAACCCATTGAGAAGATTCTGTCGAAAGGCTAAGTAAATGGGATTTAACGCGAAAGGCCATGGTGCGAAGCTGGTTGGTGGCACATCTTTGCGCCGTTGTCGAACAATCTTTGATAGCGGCCACTATTTACAAAAATCGATGACGACCGCTATCAAGGATATCGCCAAGCAAATAAATAGATAACTATTATATTTTGACGAGATCGTTATGAAGAGCTGTGAAACTTGGAAACAGAAGGAATGAAAGAAATAAATAAATTTTTGTTTTATGCAGCTTTCAAAAAACCTAAGCGAACGTGCAAAAAAAAGCAAAGGAAAAACCTGTTTTCTTCTTCGTCGCAGTCAGCTGTGTATTTATCCTTTTCCATTTGGGTCCCAGATTGTGCAATTTTGGAAGTTTGCACCGCAGCCGTATGTCGGCTGAATTGTCCCGTAAAGCCCTGGCCATAAGTACAGCGATTTCATCGTCGCGATTTCGTCGCCGGGGAATTTCATGATTATAGCGACGAAACCACGTCTATTAAATCGCTCATTGCGAGCTCTGGACCACCGTTCAGCGATAAGGTGAAAATACACACCTCAGTACTCGTTCTACGTTTTTTTTGGCATCTATTTCACATTTGCAGCTCTCTTGTCTTTTTTTCGACACCGATACGCTCAACATCAATCAATTCATATTAGTTTCTCGCGCATTTGCATCTACTGTTCAGCTTTTTCATTAGATGCAGGATGCAAAGGCAATTTTCTCAAGTTATAGCTGCGGTTCAAACGTTGCTAATTTCGCAATACTCACAAGGGAAGTCACTCAACTTAGGTGGGCCTTTTGAAATGAGTCACATATATTTAGAATCATCTCGGAACGCTGATTCCAAATATGCTGTTTTTAGCTGGGAAGCGTCCCTCTGAAGCGAGTTATGAATTTTTTAGTATGTATAACTATAAATGAATATGGAAAGAAAGCCTTTAGATGAAAATCTGCCTAAAAAAGTGGTGGGAAACCGAAATAACATCAAATTGACAATGAGTCATTTGGCTTTGATAGGGTGTTGTATGCATTTGGACTACTACCTTTGATGACCATACTGTAGCATGTCTAAGTCGGTCAGCACGCAACTTTGCTTAGGAAAAGGCTCATAACTCGCTTCAGAGGAAAGCTTCGCCTGCTAAGGACAGCATATTTAGAATCAGCGTTCCGAGCTGACTCTAAACATATGTGTCTCATTTCCAAAGGCCTTCCTTAAGTTAAGTGACTTCCCTTGTCAGATATCTAAGAGAACGCGCATCACAACACGACAGGAGTGCAATTTAAAAAATCTGTATCACATTTTGAACTCTCCATAAAAAACAAGTTGAGAGAGAAAAGAATTGTTCCATAAACATCCAGGATAAAAACTCAACTTCAGCGATATCGCCCCGTCGCTGATTTAAAACTGGCGACGCGGTATCGCAAGATTTTCACCAAATTGCAGCGATATCGCAAGATTTCGACCAAATTGCGGCGGTATCGTTGGAATAGGTATAGGTATAGCCTGGAAAACAGGTCAGCGATCAGTCGCGCCGGACAGTTAGTACGAATGACATGCTTGATTCGCCGGCAGGCATAGGGCGTCTTACAGTTGTCCGTTTGCAAAACTCGCATTGCGGTGATTTATTTGACGGTATGGCCCAGGACTTAAATTAGTCATGAGCAGCTTACGGGAAAATTCTTTGGTACTCCTCTTGTGTACGCTATCTTCCTCGGTTCACTCCAGAACCTGTCCTCGGCCAAGTGGCATTGTGTTAAACTGACCATGGCACTTAGTGGGAGATCTTCTGACTTTTTAATTGAGTACTCTAAAGCAAGGGAAGGTGGGCGGTCTTTGGTTCACCTCAGGAAGCTCTTTTGTATGGATAATCTCGGATCAGTCAAGATGAATGAGGGTTTACTATGGGCCAATAGCAACATTTGGGTGCTCCAGTTCTAAAGCAGATAAAGTACGCTTTATAACTGGTCAACTTTGCTGCTTGGTAAAAGTAAGGAACTAATGCTTAACTAAATCTGTATTAAGACTTTTTATAGGCGTTGCACAATTATTTACCATTTACTAAATGAAAAAACAACTATAATTTTTTTAGTTGGCGTTAAAATGCGGCAATCTTCATAGAATTGTTGAGACTATCTAAGCTATCCAGAGAAGTTCAATATTTTCAAATATACCTTTGATTTAGTTGGTCCAACAATGACTTCATGCTACAAGGGTGGAAAGATGACTTGTCAAATAAAGATTGTCCATTTGAAAGTAGCTTCAAAATAAAGGAGTGCGGTGCAACTCTAAAAGGATGGAACTGGAGAAGACAGAAGAAGATAGAGTTGGAGTCCTTAAAGCGAGTTTACTTACTATCTGTTTCTCCAAGTAGCATAAAAATGATGCAGCTTCAGAGACTAAAGAATGATTTAAGGGAGATACTTCAAGGTGCTGAAGAGTACTATCGCAAAGAATTTCCAAGCGAAGGAAGAGTGATACCTAATCTAGACTTACCGATAGTCGCAAGTTGTTTCCCACATTGCGAGAAGTAAACAGGATTTGGACTGGAATTTACTACGCTTATTTGCAATTTACGTCGCTCGTTCCTTCTTTCAAAGTGTTTACTGAGGGGAAAAGTTTTACCAGTCGAAGTCGCCATTCACATAGAGATGTATAATGTCACGCGTTGTAAGCAATAAATGCTAATCTTAAATATAGTGCCCGTATTTGCCTAGCGCCTCCTTCTACGGCGCTAAAAAGAATTTGAAAAGACTCCTAATAGAGGTAAATTATCAAATCATTTGTGCAAAAGGCCAGAAGATTCGTACTACGTTATTTCATTTAAAGCTGCATGTTCGTACACAACCATTCCCAAAAGTGTGACTTCGTAATAAAGTAAGTTGAGGAAAATAGCAAGGATGCAGTTTCAAAGCTGTAAATTCAACACTGACTTAGCTGTATACATCTTAACTGCAATGGCCATTTCAACTGAAAATACTCTCCTTTTCAAATGCAAGAACACATTCTGTTTGTAAGTATCACTAGTATGTTCTTCTACCATTGTTGTTTGATCGACGCTAGGTTTTACCAATAAATATTTGCAGTTGCAGCTCAACATTTCCATGAAAGCATGAAAATTTCTCGAATTATTCGAGGAAAAATAGGGCAAATGTATCTATGTTCGACTATCCACAAATCTTGGCATAGTTGTAATCTTCTTGCAAGTTTCTTGGGCGTGGCCAAAGATTGGTACAGAACTTTATCGCAACAGAATACAGGGCGAATGTATTTTTACACAATTATCGCTAGCACTTGCGGCCCTTCACAGTGTCTTCTGGCAGTGCGAGGATTTCGAACCTTTATAAGGGAAGGATACTAACATGATCTGACAAACCAAGAAAGGGTATGAAACACTAAACGCGCCTTCAAATGCTGATTCCAAATCTGCTTTTCTTTTCTGCGGAATAACTTCTCAAAAGAAATTATTAGCGTTTGATTTTTCAAATCTGTCAAGTACCAGTAAACCAGTAATTTTTATTTATTTATTTATTTATTTAATACGCCCTTGGCGTTCCTTACAAACGAACAAAACACACAGTTATAAATATACTAACCATAATAATAGATCATCATGCAGTTCAGGTCTAATCCTTTGGACTAAATCAGTAAACGCAATAATACAGCCTGTATGTGATTGCTAAATGACTATAGGTCCAGTATTGAATGAATGTGAGCATGGAGATGGCACCCATGCCCCCATTATTTGCCAGCAAAACGATCCTAAGATAATCCAAATAGTAGATCCGTTGTCGCTAAGTGAGTGCACCGGGAAGAGTCTAATGACTCCAAGTGTAGGAAAGGTAGTTGTATATGAATAAGTCATATGCGATAGGAAAGAAAAGTTAAACTCTAGTGTATGGAGTTGGTGCACGTGTGTTTGCCAGCAAAAATGCTCTTGAAGTAATATAATAAGCAAAGCAAGGCCAAGTTGGTGGAACAATAATTAACCTTGCCTAAAAGATTCCGGGGAGGGTCCAATGCTTCAAGATGTCAACTCAATATCGCGTCTATAAGTTGAATCAGGGTAAGGTATAATTAAAGGTGCTAGATTTGTTTCCGCACCATTCGGGACCGCGCCGCGGTTTCCCCTATCTGACGTTTTCTAAATCGGCGTTACGATTCTTTATATCAAGACCTTATAATAACGGGCTAAGGGTTGTTTACGTGTTTTTGTGTGTCTGTGTGTCCCGTCTTTACGAAATTCGTAGAGCGTGTTCCAGCCAGCGTTCTAAGCCCAAATTACGCACAGCGCATGCTGCCTTCGTGAAAGTCCAACATGCAAAAGCACGAGTAGATTCGTTGAGTGGATCCCTCAGAAAATGCGCGCCAAACGGGTCCACCTGGCTTCTGCCCCGCAAAATTGGGTCCGTATCACCACTTTTTGCAAAGTCGTGGATGTGTTTGGTAAGCAAATGTGCAAGCGATGGACTTTAGCCCGAAAAATGGTTAAAAGTTTCTATATAACGAAACGGCGCCAAAAAGAATTAGTTGCGTAAATGGTCAATTTGCCAAGGTTCTAGCCAAGCATTTGAGGAGATTTTCGCTCAGAGATGTAGCTCGTGGTTACTATTGCCTTTATGGTGACTACCAAGCCATGACAAATTCAATAAACCATTCAAATTTGCGTTTGTCTTCCTGCGAAAAGTTCCATCCACGCAAAATAACCAATCTCACGTGAAAAAACTTTCTAAATGAGTAGTTATTTACATCTTATTCGTGGTAGTCGGCATAGCGAGGTGAGTTCCAGTGAGAAAATTTTACGAGCTTGAGTAAAGCGCATAGATAGCGCACTTTATCTAATGCCAGTGCGAGCCTCTGCGAAGCAGAGGTGACGCACTGGTATTAGATAAAGTGGCACAAAACTAGCGAAAAGAGCTCTCATAAACACCGGAAAATGGGGAGTCAATTATGTATTAGACAGTGGCGTACCCAGGATTTCGGCTCGGGGGGGGGGGTGGCGCGGCAAAAATTTTTTTCAAATGAAGGTGCGTGGCGTTAGCCACGCACTCCGAAAAATCTTAGGGGGGCTTCTCAAAATTTTTGCGGGCCCCTAACCACTGTCACTTGCACATTTTTATAACTGTGGAGTTCCGCATACGTATTTTTGCACAGTTTTTCGCTAGTTTTATGCCAGTAAAAGTTTGGTAAATCAAAACATTTTAAAGCTTAAAACTTTTTTTCAGAGTTTCGTTTTGCAGAAATGGAAAGCAGACTTGAAATCAGCGTTTGAAGATGCTTCAAGTGATAAACATCCCTTTCCAGATTGCCAGATCATTTGGTATGCTTCTCTTTTAGAATAACCATTCGCAACCTTGATCATTCGCTCGGGAAACCCTGCTCCATCGAATAGCACCCGAAACTTCTCTAAAATTTCTGAAAAATGTGAATTATTGCGGTTTTGACCAATTCTGATGCAAGACTTAGTCAGAGACTCAAGACTCAGACTCAGACCTAATTTTAGAGACGGCGTCCACGCAACTGGAAGGCACCAATGCTACACCCCAATGGTTGGAAGGGCATGGCATGAGACTGCAAGATTTTTTTGGAAACCTCATAATGTTCACAACTTGTAAGCCCGAATCTTGAGGGTGGGGGGATAGCCCACAAATATCTGTTTCACATATTTTGAGACTAGGAGATTCGCAAAGCGAGTTTGAGCTCATTCTGGATGTAGGTACTAAATCCTAAAGCAGTGGCATCTGAGATAAGATGCGTATCAAACAGCGCATATGGGGATTGGAATATGAAAATGGACTTCATTTTTACAAGGCGATATTGATTAGTTAGGGTTCAAAATTTTAGTGAGGCGCTGGGTTGATCTCTCACGACGTTTTATTAGGAAAAGATCATGAAAGTCGTGACGTGATCAGAGCCCGGCAGGAGGTGGCATTTCAGAATTTTGAAAACGATATCTCCTTTGAAGCCAAAATTCCTTACGACTTCCCCTTTGACCCTATTTTTGACCCCCGTAAGTCCCTGACAAACAGATATACACAAATAATAAGATGGGCGGCCTCAGCGCTTATTATAGTAGTACTACCTGGCTTTCCTGGTCCACCCGGGTCATCAAAGTTTCAGCTCAATGGGTTCATCCGCAAAGGAATCTATAAAAAAACATAGGGTCAAGATTTGCACAAACTTTGACGTTCATATATCTAAGATACTACTTATCTATTAGTCAGCTGCGAAACTTTACAATTTACAATAACCGATTGCGATTGGAGCGCGTTTTCCGAGGCCGATTATAACGCTGTGAACCCTATTTGGGGCTGTATCGAAGCGGTGCCTTGGTGTTTTTGGAAGCGGATTTGAACACATAGTAATACTCTCGACCTAGTCCACATTTATGTAAAGAAATCCGGAAAATTATGTGAAGGGAAGCAGGGAGCCACCCCAGGTGGCTCCCAGGTGGCGCGGGAGCCACCTAATTTCGAAAAACACTTACCATTTTTTGAATTCACATAAGTTTCTCATAATTCTTCATACTTTTTTGTGCTCATGGTCCTCCAACTACACAGCAAATTTGGTGCCATATCGTTACTTGTGCATTGAAAACGAGCCTATTTTGTTATTTTCCTCTTACAAGAATTGCGATTTGAATTCCCGCCTGCGGGCAGGCTAGCGATCGGAGCACAGAATCTTCGCATTGCTGGAATCTAAGTTCATAGGACAGTAGCATCAACAAGGAATGATGAACAAAGACCTAAAATACGACTTCCCCTTTGCTTTTTTGGACCAAAAACGATATCCAGCTTGTGAAAGTGCCACCCCCGCCGGGCCCTGGACGTGATCAGCATGTCAGAAAACTCCTAGACGAATTTAGAGCAAAATCTACTATATCTAGACTTTGGGACCCTGATAGCAGAGCAGCCCATATGCTTCTTTATAGTACTCTAGCAACGAAATCATGTTTTGTGGCGTATAAATTTCCATCGCGCCTCACCGAAATTTTTCAATTTTCATAACTTATTAACCAATTGCGTTGCAGAAATGGAAATAAGTTTATATTTGTCATTCACATACGCGCTTATACGCATCTCATCTTGCATGACTATTGTGATCTTACAAGGAATTAATTCAAACTTATGATGGCAAAGTGGAAAGAACCACATATCACAATCTGCGCTGCCGTTCTTGACAGAAATCATAAGCATTTAAATGTTAAAATATCAAGCTTTCTGCGCCGAACCTTTACGAATTAGTTATATAAAAATACATGTCTGTGTTCTGGTATGTGAGCTTTTCTCAAAATCAGTGCGCTCAATAACATGCAGTCATGCACTCTCAAGTTTTATTTTATAGCACACCAGCTGGCATACCCGGTCCTGCCCGGGGCCACGGAGCCAGAGGGAAGAGGGGGAGCACATAAAATATGTGTTCTGCTTCAGAACCTACGCCTTTCCATCTTTCATACCGCTTCCATCTGCTGCATTCCTGCCCCCCCCCCCTTCCTTCTCGGTGCTGCAGCCTATATCCACCTGCACGGTGCATTGTGATTGCAAATGCCTACCTCAAAGCAGCATCATCTGGAAGTAACGCATCCTTCTGACTGCAGAATGAGAATGCGATTTTCTGCTGTTGTTTACACCAAAATGTGCAAGCGGTGTGATAGCGAGTGATGAGGCTTCAGTTTTATTACTAGGTGCCACAAATCAATAAATCTATAGAAGAACCCAGCAAATTGTCTCAAAGAGTAGCCTAAAACCATCTACCAGGTCGAAAACATATAGGTGCAAAGTTTCAGCTCAGTTAGTTCACTCGCAAGAGAGTCTATAAAAACATACGGTTCAGAGTTGCACAAACTTTGACTTTTATAGATATATGAATTAGGCACTATAACCTCAATGACTGTTCTTTGGAAAAGGTCAAGAGCAATTAGAATGTGAAGCCATTTTAAGTGCATAATGTGGTTCCAAATCCAACTTGGGAGTGCATGACTAATATGTTGAGTGCACTAAATTGCACTAAATTCAGGGAAAACTTCCACTCATCAAAAACACAGATTAGGGTTTTTGTACAATTATCCTTTTAGGTGTGGCGCTATGTTCGCGAATTGCATTTTTGAACGCTCATAAAAATTTGGAATCAGTTTATTGAGACGCACCTAATAGTATGCGATTTATTTCAGTTTGCCACCTTAACTTGAGATCGTTCCGTGTATAGATCATTTTTGGTCAGAATAAAAGAGTAATCTTATTAACCACACGATCATGCTTGTCATAAATGCACTGATTCAAAATTACTGGATAATAATGTGTTGAAGTGATTATATAAAAATATTCGTTTTGCTACAAGTGAATCAAGTGTGCTGCGCAGGAAAAATCGGAAGCTCCGATCAAGAGAGAAATGGTTGCAAATGAAGAGTTATATCATTAAAGTCACATCCTGTCATTTACCTCATGTAGCTCTTCTGTGGAACCGATTTTATCTAGCGATTCGTTTAGTGTACTTTGAGCAACAACATCTTGTGAATCTTTGGTTCCACAACTCCTGTGTTGCCGATCTAGGAAACCTGCTTTCTGCGTGCACTACTAATGTTACATAATAAGCGAGTAGGTTACGGTCTCACGAGGTTTACTCTATTTCGAAAACATCACAGAGTTCTGTGGCCCTTATCTTGGCAAAACGATTGGTGGTATCTTGATCTCAGCTTCAAAAGTGAATTCCTTGCATGAGATCAGAAAAGTCGTTTTTCAAAAAATTTTAGCGTCAAATATCCATAGGCAGTACGGTCATTCAAGCTAAAGGTGGTGATTTGAAGTGTATACAGAATTAAACTCAACTACAATCAGCTTTTTTGTAGTACTCTTGCTAGGGATGGTGCGTACTCTCAAACGGCTTGCTTTTTTGGGCCCGTACTTATCCAATTTCGCTTTTTACAAGAGAAAAAGGAACAATAGGAGACTGCAGAGAATATCTTTCCGCAAACCAGTACATTTTCATCGAAATAGTTTTTTTGCACTACCAGATAGTGAGCATCCAGTCTAGAATTATCGCTGTAAACTGTTCAAAAATTCTTCTATAAAAGGGAGAGACCGATGTATCTTCACTCATCAGTGGCTTCGCTTGGTGTTGCCAGCAGGTCAGTCAAATATCCATTTCACTATCGAATATTCTTTCGCAGAATGTTTTTGCCTCTTAAGTTTGTTCAGTATGTTGCTATCAAAGAAATTTATTCAATTGCATCTCACCAGCTTATTTAAGCCACTGCAATGAATCCAACGTTCGTGGCTACTGGGCTAGCCAGTATCGCCGGCGTGGCCACTTTTGCTTCTCTGCTCACTGTCGTATTCCTCGTTTATGATATCAATGGTTTCTACGATGAAGCAATTGAGGAGCTCACGGAATTCAAGGTGTCATCGAATTTAAATGTGAATTTGAAAGATTAATTCCTCACAGTATGTTTTTTGAAGGGTCTAGCTGATTCTGCATGGAACGAGATGACTCCGTGGTATGGAGGAGGGAGAGATAGGAGAGCAATCAGGCAGAGAGGCATCAGCAACCGTAAGAGAGGAAGCAGTTATATAAAAAGAGGAACGATCATTTACGGTAGAGGTGGAGGTGGTGGCAATGGTTTTCCGCAGGGTTCGAACGGAAATGGAGGTTATGGTCCTCCGGTGGGACCACCAGGTGGGCTCAATGGAGGAGGAGGTGGTGGAGGAGGCGGAGGATTTGGAGGAGGCGGAGGATTTGGAGGAGGCGGAGGATTTGGAGGAGGCGGAGGAGGTGGAGGAGGAGGTGGAGGATATCCTCCTCACTGTCAATGCGGACCTGCCCCAACGAGTTGTCCACCGGGACCGCCTGGTCCACCTGGACCGCCTGGAGAGCCAGGAGCACCTGGAAAAGATGGACTTCCCGGCGCTAGAGGAAAGGATGCTGAGGCAGGGGGCATGGGACCAGCGGGACCAGCTCAGCAACGTGAACCGGGGCCGCCAGGCCCACCCGGTCCTGATGGACCGCCGGGGCCACCTGGACCTCCAGGGCCACCTGGCAATGTAGGTCCCGGCGGTGGTGGTGCCGGGCCTCCTGGACCACCTGGACCCCCCGGAGACCCTGGACCACCTGGACCGCCAGGTCCTCCTGGACCGGACGGTCCGCCTGGTATGCCAGGACAAAAAACCGTTGGAGTTCCCGGACCTCCCGGACCACCAGGACCACCAGGACCACCAGGACCTTCAGGCGACGAAGCTGCAGGAGGTGGTCCACCGCAGCCCGGACCTCCAGGACCACCTGGACCTCCTGGAAATCCCGGACCGCCTGGACCGGACGGCCCACCTGGACCACCTGGAGGTGGCGGTGAGCCTGGAAAAGATGGAATCTATTGTCCGTGCCCGCCACGTTCGGTCCGGGTTAATAGAGCTTACAAAGTCAATACGGCCCCACGTCGCAGAAGCTTTGGAGGATCAAACACTCGCAGAAACTACAACAGAGGAATTAACGCAAGAAGAAGAAACAGGGGTAATTAAGACAGACGAACTATTCAAACGGATTTTGTACGCGTTCATGTGTTGCATGTGTGCTTATGCAGTATGATGAACGATTAAAGTAATAAAGTTTGATGCTAGCCAATCTCACTTACTTAATTTTGCATCTAGCACTTTGCCAGAAATAATCATAAAATCATTGGTAAGCAAACCACAATCAAGAGAAAGTCTCACAAACGATCTTTCAGCCTATAAGATTAAATGTCGTAAATGTCATTCTTTCTTAATCTTATTTGTCTCAAAACTATTAGTTACATAAATATTCCAATGCTGCTTGATATTATACTGAATGATTTTGTGGATTTCAGCTGAAATCTCAAATCTCATACGCTTTTCAAACGGTCCTGAATGGGAGATAGGTGCGATTGCGATTATTAAGAGGAGCGCAGAACCGCGCGACGGAACTATTTGAGGACGCGAGAACTTCCTTTTATGGTCTTTTTTAATAATTGATAGCACCGAAAATCTCGCTCAAAATTGTTATCTAATTGTCAAGTAATACAAATCTTGCCCACATATTAGAACAGGGCAACGAAAAAGAAAATCTTGATTTTACGGTCATCCTTGCTTTCACAATATGTTGGTCACGGATAGAAATTATAGTGTAGTTCCCGGCGGTACCCGTTCGTGGTCTTACAATATTTCTTGATAATAAAAAAAATGAATAAAGAAAAATTAAATCGAGACAGCTACAATTTTGAGCAGAACTGACCATGACGTAAATGGAGATTGATTGAATGTGAAGATTGTGGGTGGTTCGACTCGCCTACGTTGAGCGATAAATAACAGCTATATGCTTCGTTTGCCCTAACAGAAGGTCAATCATCACATCAAATTATAGCAAGTACTTATTCGAGCACTAACTTATAGCCTGTAACTCATCATATATTGAAACCATTCATTCAATGAACGCGTAAGTGGAACTAACACATTCAGAAAAATTCTACAGTGCGGGGTACTACATAGATTCACATAAGATAGATAAATCATGATTATGTGCTTAACCTTTGACTCAACTGGCTTGGCTTCGGAAAGGCGGGGCTTTGTGACGTAATTAAGGCCGCTCGCGCCCGCACCTGCGTCTCTCTCGCGCGGTTACTCTCTGATTACTTAGCTAACCTTAATTGGGTCGCGGAGCCCCGCCTTCCCGAAGCCAAGCCATTTGAAGCAAATGGTACCACCTATATTGACCAGAAGGAATGAGGAGCTTATGTTACTTGCTGCCTGCAAATTAAAAGCAATGGGAATGATTGGTTCGGAAAGAGCTGAAAACATCTTATTGTTAGTACAAAAAGGTGTCCCAAATTCAAGGATAGCTTACACTATCAGATTTTGATACACAGATATTCGAATAAATTGGCTGAATGTGCAGTAAAACGGGCGCAGGCTTTCACACATTGGCTGAGATCAAAACTCGGCGAGCTTATCGAGATACAATAAATCGTTACTTTTTAAAAACATCACAGAGTCGATAAATTCAGTCCCAGCTCCTCGATATTTTGACTTCATGTCACATCTCATAGCCTGATCAAGTTACATCGACTCTGCTAATCAAAATTAATGCCAAGAAAAGATTACAATACATTACATTTTATCTTGCTAAATATCGCCCCATGTGGGATATCGTCGTCTTCCCGGCGTACGTTGGGCGGAGCTTTTGCGGACATTTCAACACGTTGGTGAGCTTGTTAAGCCTCTACTTCAAAACATGGTTCTTTGTACTCTCTAACCTGCCACGCTTATATGCTGTTGTCACACGTGGCAGGGTTGCTAGTGAAAGATCACAAAAAATCGAGCATGCTGATTACTAAAACAGCGGGAATAGTGATTTGGCATGTAGGCATGGGCACAGGGAAAGGTTCGTACAGGAATAGGGATGGCGTTCTTTGACATAGGCCCGTAGTAAACCCCCCGTCAGTGCACCTCCTCTGACGCGGGCCTAGGTTGGCCTTACGGCGCCTCAATGCGATGTCAAGTGAGCTATCGATCCGGATGCGGATCGTTTTGTAGGCATGATAGAAACTGCGAGTTCTCAAAAAAAAACAGCTCGAGAGGTTGTGCAGGTTTGGTCAATTGGCTAAGTCTAGTGTGATACACTCGGCAGCACCAGGATTCGCGCTCGCAGGTGCCGGCATTTTTGCTATATCGCTGGGGCAATCTTTGATGGCAGCCACTATCAAAAAAAATCGATGGTGGGCACTGTCTTTGCTGCGCAAACGATGACATAGACCGGATACAATAATTTAGCATATTCATAAAATATTTTGATTTTTGGAAGAGAAAAAGAGAGTTTCATTTCTATTTCAAGCATTTGTCGAAAAATGTAAAAATTTGATCGACATAGCCCAAGCCGACACGAAATATGTAGAAAAAACTTGATATTCCTTTTTTGCTGCGATCAGCTGTTCATTGATCATCCCCATCCGTATGCCACCCTATTTGTGCAATTTCGGGCACTGTCGTCCGCAGAATCAGCCAGCTGACGTCTTCCATAAGTTACTGACGAGCAACTTACGGGATTTGTGTCTGCGTCTTCTTGCAGACACGCTATCTCCATAAGCCAGGCCGACGGCAGCCGCTTAGCTTAGGGTAGGCAGCGCAGCTCATTGCGGCAGCTGACCGGCCCTTTGGCTGTCAGCTCATCGTCCATTTTAATGCACTGTAGCAAGGGGATCGTAAGATTAGCTTACGGATCTCTTCTGAGGGGGTCAGCGCAGATCATCTGAGTTGAAAGGGGGTTTACCACGGGCCATAGTGTTTTGACAGGGCCGGGCGGAGCCGGGTAAGCCAGCTAGTTTGCTTATATTAAAGATCCAAATTAACCCTTCATTGCTGAGGAAGGGCGATAATGACTAAGAATATTCTAGAATGGTCAATTTCTAAATGCTCCAGAAAAAAGTTGGTGAATCTTTCTATGGAGAGCTCGTTGCCGTTGTCAGCGTGAGGCTCAAGGCATACTCCCGCAGATCCGTCATATCGCTACATCCACGCGACTTGGCATTTTGCCAGATGTCTACAGATCAATTTTGCGCTAGTGTTAAATGCATAGACGCATAGCTTTTGTAAGTTCTTGCAAAAGTAATAAATCTGATTCAAGCAAAGTGCGTTTACGAATAGTTATGAAAAGTTGATGCAGTGCCGGATCGCGCAGCGACTGGAATCGCTTGAGGTGTGCCTTAGGCCTAGATTGGAAAATATAACGCTGGAGTTTAGAGACAGTGACCGGAAGTTACTCAATTTTTAGCTTGCTTAACTGGCCGATTCGCTACGAAATCAAAGAAATTCACCTCGGAGAGCTCAAAAGCATAGGGGACACCGAAGCGCTTCATCTTGATGTCGATCTCGGACGAGTGAACAGTTTCTGCCAAGAGAAGTAGAATTGTTATGGGGTCTTCTGACGTTGACTGTGGTCAAATTTTCCAAGCGGATTTCTCGGTCTTGGTCTAACTAGGACCTTGCGTTTGTGCGATAGCATGTGCAAGGATGTCCACTTTTACATACCACTAAGATCCCACGATCCTCAAGCTTGCCCAGAAACTACCATTAAATGTCTATAATATGTACATATCAGGACCTTTAACTTAGTAATCGCTGAAGTTTTGCAAAAGGTGAACGGAAAGAGCCAAAATGAACGAAAGTTGTGGCAGCCATGTGTGCTTGCATAGGTCAAATCTTTGCAAATTATTATATTAGGTCATTCCGAAAGTAATTTCGCTTTTTTCAAACGGACGCCACATGTGATGGAACAAAGATCTCTAAGAGATTTTGGTAGCATTCGATGCAGAATTTCATCCTCTTTTAATAGTGATGAAATCATTGCAGCGCACTCAATGTGCTTTCGGAAAATAACCAAAATCTGCGACCCATGCTTTTTGATATGGTCAAGTTCCACGATTTTTCAAAACTTTCATATCAATCCCCAGAAGGAGTTCAAGTAACGTTCAGATGGAGCAAACCTTATAGAATACAGCACTACTTTTTTCTCTTTTTCATAGCTCGCCGTACTTTTCCAAAAGATTTTTTACCAAAATCATCAATTTTGGCAGGCCTACGTCAGCCACAATCGCATCAAACATCGGCAATTACTCGGAATTTGAAGCTTCCAAGATGATATATGACTTAATATTGATTTTGTAAAGCAAATGAGAAATTGCGGATTCGAAATACTGAACTTCGAGTTTTTCGGATACAGCCTGGGGTGCGTTCAAAAACATGAGTTATGACGATTTTAGCCCGAAGACTGAACGAATCGAGAAAAAAACATCTACTAGAAAGAGGAGAAAAAGCTGCATCAAACAGCACCCAAGCTGCTCTCTCATTGATGTTCTACGAGATTTGAGTTGACCAAATATGCAAATTGGTAGCATCAGTTGAAGTGTTATTGAAAAATTTTGAGGAAGTATGTGAAAAAGAAAAAATTGTTTTGTATCCTGTAGGGTTTGCTCTATCTAATCGTTACTTGAACTCCTTTTGAGGGTTGATATGAAAGTTTTGAAAAATTTTGAAACTTGATCATCTCAAAAAGCATGGGTCGCAGGTTTTGGTTATTTTCCGAAAGCTCAATGACTGTGTTGCAACGTTTTCATTACTGTTAGAAAGAGGATGAAATTCTGCATCGACTGCTACCAACATCTCTTAGAGATCCTTGTTCCATCACAAGTGGCGCCCCTTTGAAAAAAGCGAAATTACTTTCGGGATGACCTAATATTTACGTTTTGATGGTACTGAATTTGAAAAGAACGCTGAAAGCTTTTTGAGCTCTAATCTTTGATTTTCTACACCATTTTTAATCTAACGAAGAATATATTACTTCAAAAGGAGGACCAAATACGCGGTGTGTTAACAACCGTAGGACTATAGTTTGCTTATTTCCAGCTGTCGTTCATCTTGGCACACATCCAAGGTGAACTCCGAAGCGAACGAAATGCTTCAGAAGGTAAAATCGGCTGTGATAACTTCGCTCATCAATGTAGGTTGCCTGAGGATACAAGTTAAAAATTGATCTCAAATGTACCCAATTTTGAAAAATCCACCCCTCATGAATATCAAACCCTCGACACTTCTGAACATTAGGCCAATCTCAAACTTGTATCTTCAGACCACCCACACTGATGAGCGGAGCGACCACCGCAGCTTTAGCTTCTGGATCAATTTTTCGCTTCGAAATTCATCCTTTGCAGTGGAGTTGAACATTTATTTAGTTAAAGGCAGTGTCACCAAAATCGTAGTAGTGCGGGTCTCCACATATTTCGTCAGAGGACCTCCTGGATAGGCTACCGTCCCAAGTTCATCTCGATCCGGGACCTTCTACCCCGACAAATTTGCCCTCAAAGTGGCCCGCAAAGCGCGATTTGGCCCACACGAGCGACGCCCCCGGTTTCTCCCTTACGCGTTCAACTTTTCTATCCACTTGGTACCCACACTGTGGCCAAGGCTAGGCTGAGAAGACATAACCCGTCCGCGTTGCTTCCACGGGGCTTTCAAAAACGGGATTTTTGTGCAGTTCATGCAATTTTGGATCCTCATAGAGATAGACAGGGAAGAAAAGCTTGCAATGTGCAAAATTCTCGACAACCAAATTTTGGTGAGACACTGCCTTCAAGGGTCCGCTATTATACTAAATTCTCACCGCCCTCGATTTGGGTGGACAGTGCCTCTAAGGTTTGATTATGTAACTACGCTACATGTAAAGAAGGCCTAAATGCCCGGTTCATTGTATAAGCTCACTTGTTGGTCAAGGTATTAGTCCTCTTCGAGTTCCTTGCTTGGCAACAATGCAATTACTGATCTAAAATTGTAAAGTATATTAGAAAGGACATTATGCACTACAAATGACCTTGATTTAGGGCTGATACAACGTTGGTGAAAGAATCAAGGGAACAATTAAATTCAAGTACTACTGGCAGCATCGATTGACCCCATTTGCGATCATATTCAAAAATCAGAAATGTCCTCCACACAAGAATCATTCACTTTTTTCAGTCATCAGCTTCTTATATTCCCAGTTCTTTTTTTTACTTTTATGTGTCTTGGGTGAGCAGTTCCAAAAATCCGGACCCGGTGTTTTGCCATCTTTGGTGCTGGCCTACACATGAATATCTTTCTATCCATGCGCTCTGCGCTGAGGAACGTCTGGACTTTGAAACCTTAAAAACGATAGTGCACTTGCTGCTTCTTCCACTTCCGTATATACAAAATTTTGTCACACTGAAAAGTTTTTCAAAAAATTTTGGAACCGTTCTATTTGTTTATTCGTATTCCTCTATACGATGCTTCATTATCTTCCAGACTCTTAATAACTAAGACTTTTATCATGAACAACAATTCAAATAACACGTGCTGCATGATGGTACTGCGCTTGACCTCTGGCCACTCGTTTTCTTGAAGCAGCAACTTTCTTCTGCCTAGAGACACCAGCGAGTCGTTCATAAGGCATACCATGCGTTCGTGGTGGGCATGGGCAGTACTGCCCATCTGCCCCAGGAGCACCTGATAATCCTGGTGGACCTCGAATCCCGTCTGGACCAGGTGGGCCGGGTTTTCCAGGCGGTCCAGCTGTCCCTGGTGGCCCGGGCATGGCTGACGCTCCAGAAGTACCATTCATTCCAGGTGGACCGGGTGGACCCATTGGTCCAGGTGGTCCAGCAGGTCCAGGTGTGCCTACAATACGTCGCCCTGGCGAACCAGCAGGTCCTGGTGCTCCAGGACTGCCTGGCTGACCACGCGGTCCCGGGTCTCCTGGAGGTCCGGGTGGTCCTGGCAGACCGATACCTTCAAACTGGGCATTTTCGCCTGGACTACCAGCGGGACCTGGTGGTCCTGGTGGACCGTCCGGTCCAGGTGGTCCGGCAGGTCCAGGTGGACACTTTATGCACTCTTTTCCAAGAGACCAGCTGATAGTTAGACCGTCTAGACCGCGTCTGCCTGGTTTACCCGGTAAGCCTGGTTCTCCCGGTGGACCTGGGGGTCCTGGTGGCCCAGGAGGCCCAGGTGGGCAGTCCGTCGGTGGTGGCTCACAATGACAGCCTGATGCTTTGGAAAGCTCATCTTCTCTTTTCTCTCTCCCAACTGGATTCGCCGGCACTACTTCTTGCCATGCGTAATCGGCAAGTTCCTGCAAAAAGAAATCTTCAGAGAAGATAATTTTGCAAGCTTGTCATGTTACCTTGAAGTCTGAAAGCTCATGTGTAGCATGGTTGTAGAAATTATTGATTTCATTCACGATATAAATCATGGTGAATATGGAGGTCGTCGTTGCCAAGCCAATAGCGCAAGTCAGGCTTGTCTCTATCACAGTGGCACCCATAATGGTGCCTGAATATAAGTAAGTTTGACAAATTCACTTAAAAAATGGAACGCAGAAAATACAGAGAAAGTAGAAAAGCTCCTATGCTCAACAATAAGGTGCTTATAATACGTTTAAAAAAACAACAATTTTTCATCAGTGAACATTGTTTAGCTCCAACTAAATGGAGAGGATCAAGCATGACAAAAACGGATTGAGATAATTTCCTTAAGCAATACATTATAATATTATATATTCCAGAGCATGCGGTGCAAATCATTTTGTAAAAACATAAAGCATCTGACCAAAAATAAGGTGTAGGCATACATTGTGAAGAGGCTAGATATTTATCTGTATCAAGCGGTAATATCCTAGTTTAGAAATAATTTCAGAGGCATTTGAGTATGGAAGCCCGTCAATAACCAGATTCCTGAACACCTGGTATACTGCTTATATCTGAGTGACTGATTCATCAGTAATCTGTCTGGCGCTTTCGATCACTACTTATAGGTGGTATCAGCACAAGATGTGAACGGGAGAGAGTTATAGAATTTTTAGCGCGATATGACTAGTCTCTCTATTGCGAGCTGCCTATGTACGGCCGCAAAATAAATAGCTAAAAATAGCATAATCTTCACTTCTGGCTTAGTCCGCAAACCTTATTTACTTCCATGATGCTGATGTACAGCACAGTTAGAGGATGCTGCTCAAGCAATTTTCGCCGACAAAAATGCATCTTTTCCGAACAGGTTCCGGAAAAACAGGTCCAATCAACGTTACCGAAGAAGAAAGCCTTTCTCTCTTTCAACAACGAATACTTTATACTGTTTATGTGCAAGTATAAAGTTTGGGGCCCAGCTACTGTTAGGCATCAAAATATCATCGACGTTCTGGTTGGACGGTACCTTTGAGTGGTTATTTGAGGCTCAAACTCATTACATTGACAATGTTAAGCTCTGATAAAACCTATACTGATATAAAGAATTTGAAGATGTTGATTACTGTGTTGTATCACGCAATCCGTAACATGTTCAAAAAGCCAAAATTTTACTCGGATAGCCTGAGCAGCCGTCTAAACACATCATTAAACAGCTACTATGTCTTCACTAAGGACACATCTTTTACTGGCTTTGTTTTTTGATTAAAAAATGTGCGCATCAAACAGCTAAAAACGTGGGATGGCAAGAAAGAAATTTTTCTTTTTTTTCTAGGTCGTTACGTAAGTTTTGTTACACTCGAGTAAAAAAATCCTATAACGTTTCAGATGATTTTTTCATTATTTCCAAATCATTTGTTTTGGTGCAAATTTTTGATATATGCATTGTCACACATAAAAAATCAAATTTTCAGATTTTCTGAAATTTTCAAATCGTTTTTGGCAAATTTCAATCTTGATTACTAGAAATCTTAAACTTCCGAATTGCCTCAGTAATACTAACGCTCCCAGAAGTCCATAAAAAGCCTAAAGAGATGGAGAAGAAGAGTAAGAGCATTTTTCAAGAAAATAGAGAAAAAATGAAGGGTGAAGTACCCTCATATAGTTGCCTCTATATTTAGTGTAAGTCATGTCGTGGGACATATAGATGTTAGCAGATAGCTTTTCATGCCTTTTCTTTATATGCCAAATATGAGACGTTGCCGAATTTTCTAAGTTTTCCAGAGAAATACGAAGAAAGTATAACAAAATTTATGTAACAACTCAGTAGAATCTTATGCAAACTGAGCTGTTAATTTGTGAGAATATCCACTTGCGAGTTCGCAGGCTTGCTCGAAACATAGTATAGCCGTCCTCACCACACTAGTCACTCGGTAAGCGATTTCGAATTTGAATAGGAGCAAGGCACTCGTGACGGAGTGGCGGAGCTCGGCGCTTGAACCCTCAGTGCAGTTTTGAGCATGTTTTTATCGCTTTTCTCCATATTTGTCTGTTAATTTTTGTGTTATAATTACAGGGATTATCAAACGCAGTGTCGCTTGCATAAGCATCTCCAGTCCCGCGCTGAACTCTGCATCTCTTCAGCGAACATGCTCTATGATTACTTTCTCAGGACGAGCGTGGGAAAGGCGGAGCCTCAATAGATTGGAAGTGATTAGAGAGCGTGTTCGCGGAAGAGACGCAGAGTTCAGCGCGGGACTGGAGATGCTGACGCAAGCGACACTGCGTTTGATAAGCCCTGTATGTTGGTCGCGAAAATTGGCTTTATTGTTATTCTCGAGCATTGTTTCATCCTGCTATGCTCGTTACTTCCAGTCTGAAGACAGGTAAGCTTTAAGAAAGGATGCACTTTGGGAAATTGGGAAATTTCCGCTGTAGATTTTTTTCGTGAGTAATACGTGCAGAAGTGTTTTTCTTTGAAATGATGTTACAAATTTGCCATCCGGCAGTACAGTATATAGAGCTACAATTGGCCAAGGCTGCTTGAATTTCAAAAAAGAAATATAAAAATTCCAGGAATTTTTCGAAATCTAGTAAATTTTTAAGATTTTTGGGGTTTTAAGGCAAAATGAAGTTGTTAGCAGTCTAGACCATGCGCAATAATCCGGAATCGTTTACTAATTGTTGTTAGAGGTTGACTTATTCGGCTCGCCAAAAAAGAGGTAAAATTTAGGGCAAGGAGATTTGGCGCCCTCACAATTTTGAAAAAGTTGCTGTACGCAAGGCCGGTCAATGACTAAGGAGTCAAAACCACAAAATTACCCGAGCCTTTACATATTGAGGTTCTTTGACCTGCTAACCACGAATATCATATTCACTTGTTGAATGAACGCCTCTTTCCTTGTTTAGGATGGGACCCTATATCGTGCACCTACAGTAATGTTACAATAAACCCCTATAACGCAACTTCAGTATCATTTTCGTGATCAGCATGTCGGATACCCCCCCTCTCCCTATGCCAAGTTTCAGCCAAATCAGTCGAATTTTGTAATTTTTCCCTTCATACCATATACGTACCGTATCCCTCATTACGACGTCAGAAGTTGGTAGAATTTGGTAGATTAGCAACTGCGCTTGCAGCTTACGTCATAACCAGCACAATGGCGAAATTTGAGTGCGCCACGTTGAGTGAGAGGAAAGTTATTGAATGAATTGCAAAACTTAGTTTTCAACATAACAAAAACCAACTTTGGCTAAAAAACTAAACTTTGCGGCCGAAAAAACGGGAAACAAACATGCGTAACGTTAAACTGAAGGCTGACGTGCCGTGCTCTACCGCAGTCGGTCTGCTCCACTTCGATAGTGGAATGACGAAGCATTTATGCATGAAACTAGCTCAAAAATTGCGCTCTCGAAGTGAGATACAAGTTTAATAGGACATACAAACTGAAGCAAAAGTCCATGTCTTTTGGAGTAAGCTAAATTGCTTAACGCTCACTTTCATGTCTTTATATAGAGCTATTCGGCAATCATTACAACGACATTGCCATCAAAGCATTCTGTCTTCGAAATTGAATGCAAAACGTTCCGTGCAGTGTGACCCTGCGTAATGACATTTTTTCAACGATTGCCACCGGTTGCTACACTAACCTTGCAATCGGGCTGCATTTCTTCTCATAAAAATTCCAAACATTGAAAGAATAGTGCAGGCTATCGGTTTTGTTTAGTAAAATTTTTTCAAGCTTTTCTGTCTCCGAAACTGTCCTTATCATTGAATCATGCACAAATGAAACATCTGCATTTTTTATTAAAGTTACATGAGCCAAAAAATACCTTTGTCCTCAATCCTTTGCAGAATAATGTCTGGCCTTTCTATGGCCTACAACCTATGAGCTTGAGTCCGAGAAACTCTGGAATCTCTTTTGGAGCTGGACTTTTTATGGTTCACCGCAGCTCAATGGTAAAAATTTACTCTTTAGAAGTCTATTTCGATAATGTCAAAATGATATGGGATGCCGAGATTTCCATTTTCATGCAAAAGTAAGGAAAAATTAATTCATAACTATAGGCTAAGGATGTTACGTGAATTTGTGTGCGTATTTGTCGTCGGTTTAAATGAAAATCATAGTTTCAGCAAAAAGTCTCGTGCTGATCAGAGCACGCTATCAGCATGCTGGCTAATTCTGCAAAAACACCAGGCGATCCGATCAGCAGACCTTCAAAAACTGAGCATCAAACGGGTTCACATGGCTTCTGGCTCGCAGACCTGGATTTAGACTTGATCTTCTTGCACACGAACGGATTTGTTTCACAGTCTTATAAACAAAGCCTAGTATGCAAAGTTGGCGCTAAATATGCTGCTTGATTTGTCTATTACTATTTTTATTGTATAGGTGAAATCTCGAAAATCAACGGTAAAACCGCTGATTTTTCAAGACTTCACCTATAGACTAACAATATCCTTGCACAAAGATGTATATAGTCCAAATCACCACTGTCCTCAATGCGACTTTGGACATTACAAGTCCAGTGACTGCTTTGGAAAATTCTATATCTTCTTCGCAATATGTTTTTTACGTCCAGAGTCACTGAGCATTATGAAAGAGAAACTGTGTATATTTTTTTGCGTAATTGTGATGGTAGCCCAATAGCGTGTTTCACTTCCGTAGACGAAAAACAGGACCCCAATAACATCATTCATTGGAGTTGGAAAACCACTTGTCTACTTCGCGTGTACAGATAGTCTAGATAGTGGGACAGTGCGACCATTGGCAACAGAGGTGAAGCACTGCAGAGAATTAAGTTATGAACCCTAATCTATAGTACTTGAAGGTATCTAATAGATTTGAAGGCAATAGCTCGGCAAGTCCTTGACCTGAAGTTTTTTCGCTCACCTGGGGTATTGTATTTCGACGCGCTGATTCCGAAAATACACTTTGAAGAGCGCGAAAACTAGCATTTACTGAGGCTCATCATCTTGAATTTTGACGAGTGGAACGCTTCACGTCATAGTTAGAGAAGTAGAGTCGTTGCGGGACCCTCATGTTTATAGCACTGCGGCATGCCGTCTCTGACGGTCGAAGGGGAGTCTCAAGCGTCCGAGCGCGTGCAAAATGGCTTGCGCGCACGAGTTTAGGGACACTTTTCTAGGCGGAGGCAACATGCTGTGCACTCGGACGTGCTCTGTTCTCATGTTTGGGAGGATGCAAGCAACCTTCCGTATCAAAATTTTGATATGTTTGGTTTTGCCGAGCCTCTGCCTTTAAAGGCAGCGGACAGGCAAAATGGACCCCTGTCAGATTTTGGTAGTTTCGGTTAGCGGACCCCTCAAATACACCGTAGCCCCAACCCCACATTCCAATTCATGCGCTAAGTCCTGAAAAAAGCGCTTCAAAACTCCACCAGCCCCGCCCACTTCCATTGAGTGGGCGTTATTGGTGGAAGTTTGAAGCGCTTTTTTCAGGACTTAGCGCATCATCTGGAAGTTGGGGTTGGGGCTACGGTGTAATTGGGGGGTCCACTACCCAAAACTACCAAAATCTGACAGGGGTCCATTTTGCCTGTCCACTGCCTTTAACGGTAAAAATAATATGTTCGCGTTACCGTCAATATTTGCTCGGAAACGAATTAAGCTTCTGAATACCAACAATTTGCTTGTGACTTGCGCATAAAAATTGTCATAGAGCTATACATTACCTCCCTACGAGTAAAGCGTTGTCGGCTACGCAATTACATTATAACTACCATTTTTATCTACAATCAAATTAACATATCTACTACTCACAAACCTTTGGGCAAAATTGTTTGATCAAACAGCAGAAAAAGCTTCACAGTTGGCAAAAAATCGGGTAAACTCCGAAAGCAACTCTTTAAACAAGTTTTGCAACATGTTTCCACTTTTTGCGGCTCACATTATAGATTCGCACTATAAACACTGGCAACGGTGACTGATCTGACTCCTGAGAAGTTTTTGCATGTCGTAGTGCGCAAATTGGCAATAGTGGAACGCAAGCAAAAACCACGTCGCAGCTGTACTAAGGGTATCAGTTGCCTGCTGAACAAAAAAAGTTAATCGGGTATCGATTTCAAAAATAAAAGGGATTGGCATGTTCGCTGGTTACACCGTTTACTCAAAGAAAGGAGAACAGGTACGGAGGGGAACCAAAAAGACATTGCAGGCGAAGTGGGCAAGTTACATACAAGTAGTGCAAAAAAGAAAGAGATAACATGCTGGAAGCTCTAACTAGAATGGTCATCTTATCCCGAAGAAGAATGCAATCAGAGATTTGAAACTATGATTTGTCATAACTGGATAGATCATAAATGCTAAGACCTCATCATAGATGTAAAACCCCGATCGGTCAGAAAAGAGTTCGACAATCACCAGAAAGCAGTCTTTCTGGTACTTCCACGTTTGTCGAAAAACAAAAAATGAGACGAAAAATAATGTAAAATTAATACACCTCAAATGCATTGGTTGTCATTTCTAAGTAAACGGCGACGGCGTGGAAAGAAGGCAACTTCTACACAAACCGCATTCTTCCTGTCACGCTCTCCTCACTTTTAGGTTCTGGATGAGGAAGAGAGGCCCCATTAAATTGAGGGTCCTACTGCCGGGCGAAGGCATAAGTCTCAAAAGCGCGAAAGCAAAAGGCAGTCTTATCAGTCGCGCGCTTGCTGCTGAGGACTGAGTGGCGTAAATGCGCAGTGCCGCGTGGCGCCCACAAGAACATTGCTTTTGCGCCATCGTTCGGCAATAAATTTTGTACGAAGAACATTTGTAAACCGCAAAAATCATTCCTCCTGGCAAAAATTCCCTATATGTCACTTTTGATGCCGGTCGTGCGCGGTTGCCCCCCCCCTTCAAGAGTGGGTAGAATAGATGGTAACCACATACACATACTTGTACACGTACACATACATAGGTACATTAGGTTGGCAATTAGTTCTGCAACTTTTTGATAACTCTCTTTATCAGTTACGTGTAGATACCTAAATTATGTTGTCATGTGAATGTGGAGTGAGGTTCGCTTGGACAAATTGTTTGATCTTGATAATGCGGCGAGGAATTCTATATATTTTCCCAGATCCATAAATTGACCAAATCGAGACACGACGGTTGTGAAGCAGAAATCAAGCCATGCACAATCTGATACAAGCAGTTTAGCCCTTACAACTCTGGACAAAGTAATGCGCTAGAGGTTGACTATTGACTACTAAGCGCAGTAAAAAACAATCGTCATGAACTCAGACTGAGATCTGGTGTCCTCGGTATTTGTAGGAGCCGAATGCTTCAATGCTGCTTCGAAAATCTGTCAGGGCCAAATATTCGGGACGTCAGAGTCTGCTGAGATTGCATCGCGGCCATATTCAATAGTTGTCGGGATGGAAAATTGTGAATTCGTTTACGCGAAGTAAAAGTCATCTTCGTGATCAGCATGTCCAGCTCCCCTTGTCTAAATTCGATTTTGAATGTGTACATCCTCCGCTCTTTTGCCCTTTACGACCTGCAATTTACATAACCCATGTAATTACTGTCAAACAATGGCTGTATGTGTAGCCCATAACCTGGTTTGTTAAAGGCACCATCCACTCAAATTCTCGACTTCCAGGTCTTTGTCGTTTCAGGGCCTTCTCATGCCCCTGATTCCGGATATAAAGTCGAAAATCTGCGAAAACCCCGACAATTCCTGTTTCGGAGAACCCACAGGCCGGCTTTCCGGAACAGTGATTGGATGGGCCCGCACGGATGGGTGGGCATGGATGGGGAGGGCGCTGCCGTCTGGGGGTCCTCGTGCAACTTCGTTATTCCGGAGCGGTTTTCTCGCTTCTGAAGCGACATTTTGAGGTGCGATTTGAGCATTGGCTTGACAGGGGCCCTGATATCATATGCTGCCAATAGCTCAAGACCCTCAATCTAGGGTGGACGGTGCCTTTAGGTGCTATGCTCTACACTGGAAAAAAATATGACAAAAGGTAACACATAGTTGTGTACCTACCACACAAGCACTTGCATGTCCTCGAGTCATTTGTAACTAATTATGTGTACCAGCACACTTTGTGCGACTACCGACCCACCATTTAACTCTTCAGTGAAACCTCTTCTAGCGTGACGAACTATGGAAATGTGTTCTACTAACTAGTACATATCCAAACAAATCAGAATAATGAAACAAGGGGAAATTGATGGAAATGAGCAGGTTCTAACCTCACAAAGCTGTTAAATAGAACGCACTATTTGCATTACGCATAATCAGTTACAAATGAATTAACGATACTTACAAATAAACGCATAGAAAGAGGACATTATATTGGCTGTTGAAAGGTCTACAAAAAGTATCTTGATCTTGATCTCCCTTTACTCTCAAGTATGCATATTCCGCACATAAGAACGAAAGTTCATCACAGTTACAAGGAAAATAAATATACAGGGTGTCCCAAAAGTATGTATGCACTGTTTGATCGTGCCTTGCTTCAGGTACCGTTTTGTAGAGCTGGCTTCAACTTAGATTTGCATTATAGAACGAATCATTCACCTCTTCATTACTGTAGAATTACGGTAGAAACTCGAAACATATGGTGTCATTGTGAAAATAGGTGCCGTTTCCAAACTCTTCCAAAAAAATGTGAATACTTGTGCAATAGGGTTTTTATGGACGCTGAGTTCAACACTCAACTATTCACAAGATTGCGAAGCTTTCTAAACGGTTAACCGCACTTTTTGCATTGAAAAAATGGCCACTACTCTTACCCGGCATGACTCTTCAATGAAGCATCATAATAAGCTTAGAACTTTACAATTAGAATCAGCAAGCCTTATTAGCCTAGCGTAAAAGTTTTCAGACTGTTTTGTTTTCTTTTTGAAGCATAATATGGCCTTTGTTCGAAAAAGGCTTACGTTAAACTGCTCTCTTCTACTTGGAGTTGTTGATTATGGTCATACCGTTCAGTAACTCTGACACTTAGTGAGGCCGTGGGCCTTAAGTACCATTACGGCCGGATTTTCGCAGCGTCCGCGGGCCAGCCGAAGATGGACCGCTGCAGTAAATTAAGGGTTTGGGTTGGGTCGCTGCCTGAGTTGAGGACCGCGGCTCGCATAATGTATTTTAGTGTAGGTGCATCAGAATCGGGGGTGAGTCGCATCATAGGAGCTAAGCCGCTGTAGTGAAAGAAGCCCCTTTATTCCACTACAACGTTATATCCGGGCGGTGCGCGGGAACTGAGAAAATCCAATCGCAAGTTGCTCGCTACTATAGCAAAATAAGGGCCGCGGCTCGTTCGCTCCCAGTATCTGAGAATAAACTTGCACTCAAATAAATCCGAATCAATCAACAGTGGATGAATGAAAAATACTCCAGAAGCACCATGAAAAATACCGTAAACATGCGATCCAAAGTCAACAATGCGGTTCATCGCTCTGATTTGCTTGTGACCTGTCCTTTGGCTATTCCGGTGAAGTCCTACTTTTGTAACAAAAACTGTTTGATACTTGTTTTCTACAATTGACTCAGAATACACACAATTTCTAAACCTTTAACGATTCTTTAATATCTAAAATTGATTTCAAAAAATTATGGGGAAAGTACAGGTTCTTCGCTAAGCTCTTTTGGCTTCTCTTCCTTCTCTTCGGCACAGCAGCAGTACCAGCAAGCATGAATAAAGCCCGGAACTATGAGCATGCAAAGAATAAGGTTGAGACAGACTACGTTGGAGCATTTTCCATCATGATACCATATCGCTAATGGCTGAAAAAATCAAATTGATAGATTAGTGCTAACTTCAGCAAGCAAAGACAGGAAGGATGTAGAACACAAACTAGCTTGGCTTACCGGAAAAAATATAAGGAGCAGAATTTGAATACATTGGCCTATTTCCGAAGATGAGGCGTTTGTGGACATATTTCTGCAATTAGAGTGTATCTTATGCTGTGTTCCCCAGAAAACATTCGAAACAACTGCGCGGAGCACTCCATATTTGAATGGATTAGCAGGAACAGTATTCTGCTAAGTCACACCACTGCGATCAGATCATTATTGCACAGTTGCAACGAGAATCAGCATACCGCTGCCACACGACGGGTAACCAACTTACGAAATATTCATTTCACACTGTATTGAAGCAATGAAAACGGGCAAACGTGTTGATACTTTGCTGTCTTGTATGTTTATCGCACGATATGACGTAATAATGTGGTTGAGTGAACATTCCCTAGTCGTTTTTATGGAACTATTCAAAGTAGTAACGGTTTTTTGTTAGTATCACGTGAAAGTCGCGCAGAGTCTATGAATCCCGCTTTGCAGCGTATTGCTGTCTTCACTAGAAGCCGATGGCAAATTGGTAAAAAACATTTATTCTTACATGGTAGAAAAACAGCGTAAAAGAGTTACTAGATTCTGCACTGAAGTCCTGCTCGAGCAGATCTGGACTGTTGCAGGCACAACGCTGATGTCGAAAGTGAAAATTGGGTCGCTATTCAGCGCAGGACTTACCGCCACTCCACAAAAGTCTAGTTCAAGTCAAAGTTTTGGACCGACCCATCCTTCATGTATTAGTTAGTGGTTGGGATATAGTCAGAACTATAAGGCTTCGAATACCACTTGCTAGCCACAACCACAAAGATTATCTGCCACGCGGGTCTTGAGCGTTGGACAACACGAGCACACCTCAAACTTGGGTAATTAAACTTTATCAAGGAAACAAATAACAATAACAAACACGGATAGAACAAATAACAAATAATGTTACTAAATGATAGACTACAAATAGGAATGCTATGATTGGAAGAAGGCAAAATATGTGAGTGAAATGTTAAAGCAAATGAGCAAAAGTAGTACATGTGAATAACTCTGAGTGTTCACTGCCAGCTGCTTATATGCGTACGATCACATCCTCAAACCACAGCTGCGCGCGACATCCTACTGTTAGCTAAAAAACCATGAGCAATTCACATCTGATGCCAACATCTGCAAATTTCTCCAGTAGTAAAAAAACGATGCAAATCATCGATGCTTTGCAACTGGCAAAGTATGACTAAACTACAAGGATGTGATGAGTTTATACATGAGGGAGAAAGGAGCAATACGGACTACGAAGTTCGTATACTTCAAAGCAATCCAATATTTGATCTTGTATTATATGCAAATGCAATTTTTGCAAAGAGTACTATGCAAAAACGACGGTTCTTCTGTAAGAAAAAATGAGCGGGTGCCGAAAATGCTGTTTGAGAAACCGAAGTACATTGGCTCTCCATCGAAATGATAGGTTCAGTATAAAAGCATAATGTTTTTTTCAGCACTATACGCATACTTCCAGAATACCTTCTCTCAAAGAAAGAAGGCAAGAATTAGACGATGAAATGATCTAGTTAAACTGAAGTAAATAATGTTCGTTTCTCTAGGCCCACTTTCCGAACACAATTTTTTTCTTCAAACGTTCTTTTTCAATACAAATTTTGCATATCATTGAAAAGCTCTCTCCATGTACCTCTTGATAGTGGTGCAATTAGGCTTCTGTTTTCGTCAGTGAGGATAACACCAGCACTTTGCACAGCCGAACACAAAATCAAAGTTTCATTGCTTTCAGTTCCTTGGACACAATTCAGGCGCAGTAAACGAATTCTTTTCAAAACGTAGCTACGCTTGAGATGAGTATTGTCCACCAAGCATGCCTGAGATTTTTGAATATCTAAAGTGGGACTAGGCCCCAAAGTAGACACCCGCTGCTGACATCATATGGGTTAAAAGTTTTTTCTGATCAAGGCAATCGCCAAAGTTTCGCTCATTTAAGCTCGAGGTTCGAACATCTTGCCTATTTTTGCAGAAAAACTCTGTTCAGTGCTCAAAGCATTTCAAATTTTTATTATTCGAAACTTCTAGACTTATCATAAGTAGGCTCTAAAAAACAAACAATTTTTTTATCTTTTCCTTTCGCAAAACTTCTTCATTGAAGTATTTTCCATACACACATATACTACTGGCTTGCGGCTACAAAATAAGCTCATGACAGTCATGAAACGTAAAGGGAATTGGACGAGAATTTTGAAAGAAAACTTTCGGTTTTTGGACGTACCCTTTTGCGATATCAGTATGAGCGGGTACGCTCTAAATTGAGAAAAATTTATTGATTCTGACGGTTTAGACTACATTTGAGAATGAAGACGGGACAAAGCTACAGCTTTCAAGATGAGACTTTACAAAACGGACATTATTTTTGCACCAAATCACAAAAAGGATTACCTATTGTAAAGCACTGGAGTTTTGTTTATTTACTCGATTTGAAGTACATTATAAGTGTGCCAGGAAAAATGCTCTACTTAGATACATGAAATGAGGGAGTGGTCTTCTTGATCAAAGAACTGATTGATGTGAATTTCAGTAATGGATAAGATCAAGGCACTACTCGTTTAGCATGCTCACATGCAAGCACAAAATATGTATTCCGCGATCTCTTAGAGTCATATGAATCAAAAAAAAACCTTCTGTGACCTTTTCTCAATTTCTCTTTCTCAAGTGAATGTATGACGTTAGATTACAGCCTGACACCTTCACGCGGTAAGGATGCTTGGAATAATCAGTATGTTCGTTGCCACGCGGTAATGACCAACCAAACGTCAGTAAGACCAACAACACGATCGGGCGCAGAGTTTATTCCTCAAACTTGGGTAATTAAACCGAAAGTCTGATACATTAAAACAATAATGCGCAAAAATAAGAAATAACCCATTTTTATTGTACGAATGTGAATAGGCGCAATTATTGATAAATGTTTTTGGCGCGATGAAAGTGAATATTCGAAAAATTGCAAGAACTCTTTTTTCTCTGGCGCAAAAATAGAAAAGTGCGTGCGCGGTGGATAATCACAGCCAGCCTTTTTGCCTCAGAAAAATGGTTGAAACGAGTTATAATTAAAATAAAGTGAGAACAAAGACATCAACGTGATTGAAAAGGAAAAAATGAAAGTATTCTGCCCCTGCGTGCTCGACCGCGGCTTCTTATATCCGATGTGTTGCACGATAACCATATATTTTGAGAAGTTGAAGCTGCAAATAAATATCTGTCATGAGATAACGTTCTCCGCGTTGCCGCGGCGTTACAGTAACCATAGAAAACGTAACAACCTCGAGGGATCGCAGCGTTGCAGCGATAATCAGTTTCTGACCTTGAGATTGATTTGAAGTATGTCTCCGAGACCGAAGCTCTCGGAAGTGGCAAAACTGATAGCTCCTTTGCTTTCTCAGGGCCGTATGCATGTACAGGGTGTCCCAAAAGTCCTTAAGCCTAGCTTTTCAACGTAGTAACTTTGTTAGTATTTCTCGCTTTTCAGCCAAATTTTGCCTTTGAGTTCTTCGTCTAGTTGCCAATATTCTTCAAGAAAATCATTCCATTTACATTGTACATTCTCGAGATATACTTCTTGAAGCGAACAATACTACATTCGCGAAGACAACCCGAAGGAAACGCACCCCCTATTCAAATATTTACAGCTCTTTTGGCTTTGGAGCTCTTGTGGACTTTCAAACTGCATATTGTAGAGCTAGCTTCACTCTACATTTACAGTGTAAAATCAATCAATAGCCTTCGTTCATTAGAGTAGGATTAGGATACAAACACTGAAGTTGCGCCGTGCCAATGAGAAGGAAAAGTTCTCGGAAACAAAAACCTGGAAAAGCTGGAAAGTCCAGCACCGAATCAGCTTCACTCACTAATTCTAGCTGTAAGCCCCGCATTTCCTACTGAAATACCATTTTAAAGTCACTCCGCTACGCCATAATTGCTGTTTTCTTGGTGTTCTCAAACACTTGAATGCTACATTTTGACACTTTTGTCAAATCTCACAGTTATGCTTCTCAGATTTACGTGCCTTCAATAGCCGGGTCAAGAGGCCTTTGACTTTTCTTTGTGATCAGTAATGGAAAACAAGGTTTGCTCTATTTCATGCAAAATTTTGGACAGTCTGGATTGCTTGCTTCAGAAGATGTGAGACAATCTCAATGTCAACTACCTGGCTGCCATGGTGCATGCATTCCGCAAGGGTCTTCTGAGAGCCTGTGTAAAGGCCAAAGGAGGGTTTTCAAAAATCTGAGTGTATCATGTTATTTTGTAGGCTCTTCGCAAATTTCCTGCTGAATTTCATGCTTCTATGTTGCTTCATGCACTTTCAGCGGAGAAAATACTAGGCTCAAAGACTTTTGGGACACCCTGTACATCCCCGCTGGGGAAAGGAGGATATCTGAGAGGGGACGCGTCATATTTCGCTGAACTAGTATCTTAACTCTTCTTTTGTTGTGTCTTACAGAGGTTCTTATACACTGATACGTGAGTATAATGGATGGTAAAACCCTGCATACAAGGTGTTATTTTGCTATTTAGTTGCAATTTTCGCTGTTTCGTTTGAACACCTGAGGATCCCCAGGGAATCTCCCCTTGTTTCTGGCCGTTTATCCTGTTAAAAAGTGGACAAAAAGTTCGTTTAATTGAAGTGAAGATCTACAATGGAACTGCGAGGATGTTTTCGACAAAGCCAATGGATTATGGAGGTTGCGAGTTTTCGATGAACCTCAGCTCGCAATCGAAGATTCGATACCTGAGATATCACTAATTTTCATATTAACATCTTTAGCAATGCTGTAATATATTCTCGACGCAATTATACCGCATTTTCATCGACTCTATAAAGATAAACGACTTTGAAGATGTGGGTTGAATCTACTGCGGATTCTGTGGTATCATATGAAATAATAAAACAACTCAATTAATATGGCAATGTTCTGTCATCTCTATATATATAAAGCAGAAAGTCTGTATGTCTGCGCACATTCCCCATAATCATGAAGGATGAGCGGTGAAGCTTATTTTGATCTGCTGGTCATCAGGACATGGTAAAGACGGTAGAAAGCGAA